GGGAATGCCCGTCTTACAGAATTTCAACGGAACGCCGTTGGAATTTCTGTACTGGGGTTCAGTACATTTGAGAGGTCTGTGTTGCTCCGTACATTTTGATGGAATTCTGTCGACCTCTGTGGTCCGGTCGGCGGTTCTGTTACAGCGGGCCTGTCATCCGTAGAGGGTGGCGCGGATTCCGTAATACGTGGTTCCATTCTGGAGGGTTGTGTGGATCTCTGTAACCGTCTATGCTGACGTCAGTTTGGCCCCGCCCGGTTCTGTAAAACACTTTATCTCTCTGTGACCCGCTCACGGATTCCGTGGAATGTACGGAATTTGGACGGAGCCAACCATATTTTGTTGTGGACGGACAGAAGGGGCCACCTCTAATAGGGCCTCGACTCTGCGGCAATCTGCGCGTTTTAAAAATGGCCGCCGCCGCATTGGGGACCCCTCCCTATCCCTTTCATTCTGCCAGCCGCAAAGAACCAAGGCGGGCAGTGCCCACTTTGCTGTGCATAGATGGAGATCCGCCGTGGAACGCACACCTCCCTCGGCCTCCCGGGGAGGTCACGGGTCCGGGCCCCACAGCAAACGCACCAGACGTGCCGTCCGCCCGTCCACGATATGCCAAGTTCACGGGAACAACCGTCCGCCGTGGCATCCATCCACCAGACGACTCTCTTGGGAGTCCACAATGCTAGTTTGAGGTCCCATTGTGCAGCGAAGCTGCATAAAGTACTACAGAAATGGTGACAAGCCAAAAACGGGGCGTTATTGGGGCCGGGGGCGCTATTAGGGGGCGCTATATAGGGACCCCTACTGTAGTACTTTTTGCAGGGACCCCTACTGCACCCAAACCCTAAAAGTACCGGCAGCGCGTGAATTCCGCACCGTCTTGCCGTTTACGTCATTGGCAACATCCTGCATATTGATGGCTGCCCGGGGGCGCCAGCCCAGGGATGCTCACATACACCAGCGAGCCCCATTTATTGTTGCCCCCCAACACTGCGCAAGGGCAGCTTCCAGCCGAGCAGAATCCGCCGTGTTTCTTCCACACAACCCCACGTGACACCGGCCCTGGGCCCCGCCCGCCCCAGCCGTCACATCGCTTGCGCCGTCGCTTCATCCAGTTCCATCCCGGCTTCCCGTCCGACAATGCGGGCCGGGCGCCGAGTCAGCGTGCGGCCAGCCGGGCCCATACCCCTGCGCGGGATCCCCCTCGGCGGCCAATTCTGCCCAACTCTCCCCAGGGAGAAAACTTTCCGGTGTGGGCACGGCCTGGATGCTACGTGGCTGACGAGGTGGCGCGCTGCCCGTGGCAGCGCCCGGTCAGCTGGGACCTAAGCCGCGGACCCTGCGCCGCTGGTGGGGTGGGGAATTGGGGGGTTTTGCTCAGTGGGCGCGGCGGGAGGGGGGGGTTCTGAGGGGCGGCATCCCGCCCGTCAGTTGGCTCTTCGGCGCGGACGCGGAGCATGGGCGACGGGGGGGGTACGGGGGGAAGGAGAATCGGTGGGGGGAAACCCTGCGGCCGAGCTGCATGGGTGGCGTGCTGCCAGCTGATGCTGATGTTGGGGTTGAGCGGGCGGGTCGTGGGACAGGGTCAGGATCCCCTCCCTAGCATGGTCTCGGCGTCCAACCCACCCAGCCAGCCGGCGCGCACGCCCGACCAGCAAGTGAAGGCGCTACTGGAGTTCAAGGCGGCCCTGACGGACGACGAGGGCGTGCTGCAGAACTGGAGGGAGGGCTCGGATCCCTGCCTGGATGGCTGGGACGGCGTTGAGTGCAACTGCACGGAGAGAGTGCCCGACGGGCTGCCGCCCGTACCGTTCTGCGAGGAAAGGGACGCCCATGGCCCCGACCCGAGGGTGCTGGAGCTGACCCTGGGGGACTCTAACCGGGAGGAGATGCTGAATGGCATGATCTCGCCCGCCCTGGGCAACCTCCCAGAGCTCTGGAAGCTGGACCTGTCTGGCCAGGCGTTCACGGGCACGATACCCGACGCCCTTGTCAACCTGAAGAACCTGGCCTTCCTGTCCCTGCGCTCAAACCAGCTGACTGGCACCCTGCCGGCCTTTCTGTCGGAGTTTGAGCTCCTGACGGAGGTGCTGTTGGGTCAGAACGATTTCGAGGGCGCCGTGCCTGCAAGCTGGTGCAACCAGGCGGGGAACCGGTCGGAGACGCCGGGGTTCAGGGAGAGAATCAGCCTGGAGGGCAACCTGGGGCTGTGCGGCAAACTGCCGGACTGCTTTAACGAAACTTCACCACGGTTTAAGGAGACCAACCTGCAGTTGGGAGACGGGATGGGAGGTGTGTGCGACCAGACACCGCCTGTGTGCGATGAGGCTGAAATCATTGTTCCAAAGTTTTGGACCAATGCGAGCCAGATAACGTTCAACTTCACAGGTTGCAAAGACAATGACAGTGGCATTTCAGAGGAGACGTTCAGCGTCCAGCGTTCAGGGTCGCCCGAGGATGAGAAGGGGGGTCTGGTCAAAAATGAGTCCTTGCCGGAACCAGTGGTTGAGGAAATGAAAGAAGGGCGCAAGGTTAGGATGTTTGTGTTTAACTTGACAGAAGTTGAGCTGAAGGATGGCAACCACTTCATTGTGATAGTGACTTCTGCCAACAAGGCGGGACCCAAATTACTCACTTCCATCTCCAGTGAAGATGTTACAGTTGACAGCTCAGCCCCTGAGCCAGGGACGGTGACGTTACAATGTGTGGTCGAAGGAAAGGGATACGATGGAAATTGCCCAGTGGGGAAGGGTGTCCAGCAGGACGGTGCTGGGAGAGAGCTGAACGTCAGGTGGACCGGCTTTCGGGACAACCATACTGATGTTGAAGCTTATTCTATCAAAGTCTCTCAGCAGCCGGCACAAATTCCTGGTGAAGATCCTGTCGAACCTGTGGATTTGAACGTGACGATGGAATTTGTCCGAGAGGACTTGAAGAGCTTTAACTCATCGTCCGAACAGAATGCGACAGAAACAGGCATGCTCGTTTTCGAACAGAATGTGACGGTTCGAGCCATCCCTGAGGGGGATAGTTATGTTGTGGAGGTGTTGGCAAGAAACGAGGCTGGCTTGGAGCGGCAAGCCACTGCTACCATTGCAGTGGTTGCCACTGATGTTGTTGGAGGGAATGGGCCCACCAGAGGCGCATTGGCTGCAATTATTGTTAGTGCAGTGGTTGCAGGGGCCTTGGTGGCTGGCGCATTGGTTTGGTTCTTTGTACGAGGCAGGATGGGCAACTCTCAGGAGTCAGCCTCACAGCGCAGGGTCGAGATGCTGAAGGAGCTGATGAACGGGCTGCTCGATGTTCCATCCGAGACAGAAAAAGACAGAAGAAATAACCGCGAGCCGATCGACCAGAGCCAATTTGAGAAGCGGGACGTCGCCTTCGTGGTGACCGACCTAGAAAGCTCCTCAGCCATGGCGCAGCACTCTGAGACTGTGTTCACAAAGATGCTGGATGTGCACAACTTCATCATCCGAGAGCTTTTGGAGCAGGAGAACGGGTATGAGATAGGCACAGAGGGCGACTCGTTCCAGATCGCTTTCACGAGCATTGTTGATGCTGTGGTGTTTTGCATGAACGTCCAGTACAGGTTTCTGCAACACAAGTGGACCAATGACATGCTCAAGCTGCCCAGCTGCAGCACAGAGAAGTCTGCAGTTGGAGACTTATTGTTCAAGGGTCCCCGTGTGAGGATGGGCATTCACTGGGCAGCGGAGGGGACGGTCACGAGCAGGGCACACCCTGAAACCAAGCGCCACTTCTTCGCTGGCCCCGCTTTCGATGTCGCCAACGAGCTGGGAAACGCGGCCTGCGGTGGCCAGGTTCTGATGACGTATGACGCCTGGAAGGAGCTGCAGCCTCACATGAAATATGCAGAGTTCCCAACTGTGGAGCAGGTTGGCCTGTTTCGCATACCCAAGTGGCCAACGCCCATCTGGCTGTACGAAGTCAAGCAGCTCATCGGCCGGCCACTAGGGAGGGCGTTCCCAGAGGGTCCCAGGGGTTTGACCCAGGTGGAGAAGGGCTCTGGCCTGAGGATCACCCCCCCTCCACGACCAGGAGGGAAGCTGTGCTTCGTGTCTGCCCGCATGACCTTCCCACCTAGCGTGGATGGCCTACCGGACATGCCCATCAGCCTTGCAGAGAGTTTGTACAGCGTTTTGGCCACACAGGCCCAGCAGTTTGGTGGCTACATCTACTGGTGCCAAGTTGAAGTTGGCCAAATGACGCTGGTTTTCCAGCAGACCCTGGAGGCTGTACGTTACTGCCACAGTGTGCAGGCCCACCTGGTGCACCTGAAGCTTCCAGAAGAGGAGTTGGAACTGTGTGGGCCGATTGTTAGCGGCAAAGATGGATATATTTTCAGAGGCCCAAGGGTGGCCCTTGCTGTGCACACCACCAAGGAGTACGAAGAGGTGCAGCTATCAGGGGCCCCCGGGGGCGAGGGGGGGAGGGTCATATACCAGGGTCCTGGGGAGGACTTCACGCGGCGCCTGTGTAAGATCATAAACGGGGGTCAGACGGTGCTCAGCGACCAGGCGTGGGCAGTTGTGCAGGACAAGATCCCTGCCAAGTCGCAGTCGATCAGCCTGGGGAAGCACATAATCGACGATGTCGTGGTCCAGGCAGTTATGCTGATGGAGGTGCTGCCGACAATGCTGGCGGAGAGGAACTTTGGCGACCTGAGGAGCAAGGGGAAGCTGGAGCCAGGGTTCAGGGATTCGCCACCGGACTCGCAGGACATGGCGATCGTCTTCATCAAGGCAGAGAAACCTGACGATGTTGGCCACGCTGAGAAAAGTGGCAAGACGGAGGGGGTCTCTAACGACCACGTTCGGAAGGTGCTCACTGCCTACCACGAGGGGGTGAGCATGTACTGTGACTTGGTGCGTAGGTGTCTGAAGCTGTATGACGGGTACGAGTGCAAGGAGCCGGAGTCTGGCAAGTTCACGTTGGCCTTCCGACAGCTGGACAAGGCGATCTGCTGGGGAGCGCACATGCAGGTGGAGATGCTTCAGTTGAACTGGCCAGCAGAGCTGTTGGAAATGGAGCAGTGCCGTGCAGAGACCAACCCGTCGCTCGGAACGGTCATCTGGAAGGGCCTCAGGATCCGTATGGGGATGGTTTATGGGGACCCTGGCCAGCGCCAGCCGTTGAAGACGGGGCGGGCGGACTACTTTGGCAACCTTCCCAACCTGGCTGCCAGGATATCCAACCTCGCTGCCCCCGGCCAGATTCTGTTTGACGCAACTAACGGCAACAACCTGGGTTTTGACGTGCAGTGGATACAGAAGGGCGAGGTGGGCCTGCTGCATTTCCCTCCCGACGTCCACATCAACGAGGAGGTGGTCGAGTTGAGGAACATGGGGAGGTTCCTGCTGAGGGGCTTCGAGAAGGACCCCAAGCTGGTGTACCAGGCCGTGCCACTGTCCCTCATGTCCCGCGACTTCAAAATGAACCTGCGCAACGGCGCCCTGCGCTTGACGGAGAGCCCCTCCGACCAAGAGGCCCAGCGCACGGTGCTGAGGAAGGCCCTCCAGAGGCTGCGCGGCCCCCTGGGGCCCGGGGGGCGCTTCGGAATAAAGCTGCCCAAGAGGCGGCGGGGCAAGGGGGAGCGGAATAAGGGCTCGCCGGGCCGGGAGGGGCCGGCCGCGGGGCGCCACAACCACCTGGACACGAACATGTCGATCGACTCCAGCCACCCCATGCTGGGGCAGGCGATGCGGTCCTCTACCTTCAACGATGCCTCCTCGCTCTCGCCCTCCGTCTTCAACGAGTCCCCGCGCGGCGACCCCAGCGGCGAGTCCGGTAACCACTCCCGGCCCTTCGCCAACGGCTCATTCGTCCCCGAGCGCTCCGCCCTGTCGGTGGTCTCCAACCGGAGCAGGTCCCCCGTGGCCAGCACCCACGACTCCGAGGGCCCGCTGCCGTCCATGACCAGCGGCGGGCCGTACTCTATGTGGCGCATGTGGCGCGAGGTCAGCCCGGACGGGTCGTTCACCGAACAGGTGCGATCGTCGCGATCTGTGGGGCCGTCCTCGCTGTCCCAGGTGGCCTTGGCGGGCAACGGCCGCCACGGGGACTCTCCTGGGGACGACGCCGAGGACAGCGGCAGCGGATCGTCGCCGCGTCCGACAACGGCAAGATCCTCGAGAGGGGCCCGCGGGGCACCCAGGTGGGACTCTGAATCGGCCTTTGCCAAGCCCAGGACGGATGGCAGCTTTGCACGGGAAGTTGCCGAAGTTTACGCACGCCGGGGGCCTTATTCCAGCCCCGCGCACTCGCAGCCCGATTCAGCTGCCTCGTGTGTGGACGTGGAGAGCCAGGACAACCCGCAGGCGAGCGCACGGTCGGCGCCCAACCTGTGGGTGGCGGGCCTGGCGGGCGGCGACAGGCGGGAGTGGCTACAGGGCCTGAACGGGAGCAGCGCGATGGCCAGGCACGGCCGCACGCGTTCCAAGGACTGGATGGCGAAGCGGCCGTCGAGGCTGTCGGGGGACTGAGAGGGGGGTTTTAGGTAGGCGGGGGCGGATGTACGGCTTGTGCCCGGAGGTTGGTTCGAATTCATGTTCTTGCGCGTCGGTGTGGCCTTGACCGGCCTTGCTGGCTTCTACCGGGGGAGGTGAATGGGTACGGGGACGGGACTCTGCCGGGGAGCCGAAGGCAGTTGGATGGGAGTGAGGGGCACAAGGGGTGGGTGGCCTTCGCAACCCGCACCTGCCCAGGTCCCAAAGTCACACAAGGCGATATCCTTCCCCGCATGCCACCACCGCATTTGGTTGGGGATTGTGTGGAGTTGGGGAACGGCTAGCAGGGCAGTGGCCTTCAAGGTGGGACAATGGATTGACTGGGCATAGATGGTGAAACAAGGATGCTATTGTGCTCAGGGGCGTGCAGGGCAGAGGGGCACGCGGTTCTTATGGAGCACTCTTGTACAATGGACATCTCTCATTGCCTAATATGTAGTCGCGAATTGCTGTCTTATTTTCTTCAGGGTTCATGGTCTTGGTCTGCAGCCAGGCGTCCTCCCTGGGTTTGTGCGTATCCCTGTTTGATTTGTTGGCGAAAGGCACATTGCCTGCACTTCTTACGAATCTTTGCTGGTAGATCATTATTCAACAGCAGCAGTGACCTCAGCATCCAAGGGCATGCGAAAATGCGCAATGCTCACTGCATACCGTGTTGATTCAGGTGTCTGCACAAGCACAGTAAACCCAATGATGTCCTATGATCATCTTGCAGTCCTGGCCCTGTGCCTACAGGATGCTATTGCCCAACTTGGGAACTCAAGTTTCATACGGTTGTTCAACTTCGAAGTTGGCAGTGGCATTCAAACACCGGGGGCGATCGTCACGTTCTAGACGAGTCCAGCGGCGAGGCGACCACTGGGTGCCTTGGTGCCTCCTGCTGAACGGGAGTGCCGATGAGGATGGTGCATGCCGCCTGCTTGGAACGGCTTTATGTTACACAAATTATACACGTGGAGCGCTGCAGTGAGGGCCGATAGTCGGGGACAAGGAGCTCCTGGGGCTGCTTCGACTGGGTTCGCTTGCCAGCAAACAATGACCGTGTGTGTTGATGTGCGATCAAACTATGTTGACGGACCATTTAACACTGTCAGAATTCGCCAACGCGTAAAATTATCTTTGAAAACATTAACAAATACCCTCCAAAAGGCTCGTTGACAACAAAACTATACAGCAGCTGAAACTGCCTAAACCATCACGTGCAGTTCATGCAGAACAATGCCAGCCAACCATGGACCAGAATATCGATAAACATCTCCAGCACAGGCTGTTTTGTCAACAAATTTCAAGGCACTCAAATGTTCCACATCCCCCTCGCCGTTCCCAAGCGCCCCGGCCACCCCACCCCATCCCTCCCTCGCCGTCCCCCCACAGGCCGCGAACCCGGAGCCGACACAGCGCGCGGCGCCCGCGGCGCCTCGCCCCACCCACCCCACCCACCTCCGGGATCCGCCCATCCCCCCTCCCCGGCTCCGCAGCTTATTTTTTTTCAGCGTTTGGCGGCTGCTCACCGCAGGGCCGCTGGCGCCTCGCCGGGCATGGCGTCCAGCGACATCGACGCGGAGGTGCAGGCGCTGCTGACGCCGGACAACGCGAGATTCGAGGCCCTGCTGCAGAGCCTGACGTCCGCGGACAACGATGCGAGGGGCAAAGCGGAGGCGGTGTTCGCGGGGCTGCGCGGCAGGCCCGACCTGTGCGCCCATTACCTGGTGTCCACGCTGCGGGGCTGCGCCTCGGTGCAGCACAGGTCCTTCTGCGCGGTGATGATTCGAAAGGTGATGGGGGCGATTGGATAGCCGCTTTTCTCCGGGGCCGCCAGCGCCGATGTGTTGACGGTGGGATCTTGGCGGCCACCGCCCTCTGGCCCGCGACGTCCGAACGGCCCCCGGGGGGTGGGTGTGATGGGGCAGGGGCGTGGGGGAGAGCGCGTGATGCATGCTGAGGATGAGCTACGGCTTGTGTTGGCGGGGAGGGTGGTCTGATTTGGGCACGTCTGGTTTTGCTGCAGGTACTGGCCAAGGGGGACCGACCCATGTGGCCGGAGCTCAGCAAGCAAGTGCAGGTGGGGTCCCGGGAGGGCGGGGGGGAGGGGGGCGGAGGATTGGAGACGGAGGGGATTTCGTCGGGCTCGTTTTCCCGCCTCTGGGGCTGGGCGCCTCGTCCGGAGGGAAGGGAGTCTGTGCTCTGGCGGCTGGGAAGTTGCCCGGCAACCGAGGGCCCCTGCCTTGAAGCGGCGCGGGACGTCGGCAAGGGAATTTGCGTTGCTGCTGGCGGCCCGAGCGTTAATCGCTCGAGGCGTTACCGGGTTGGCATGCGCCCGGGGTGTTCGTGGGAATCGTCGGGGAGGCGCGTTTAGGCAGATCGCTGGCCGCTGTGCCGCCCGTTCGCTGTGCTGACGACAGGGGCGGCGACCTCAAGTGCCCCTGGCGCCGGGTTTGACCTCAGGCCATGAGCAAAGACGTGATTGGTGCGGGGCCGTTGCAGGACCTTATGAAGAACGAGCTGCTGAACTCCGTGAAGGAGGAGCGCGAGAGGCGCGTCGTGCGCAAGGTGAGATCTGCCAGGCAAATCTGTGCCCTGGGGAAGGCCGTCGCTTCGGCCGTCGAGCCGTGTCCCGCCGCGTCACTGTGCGCTCGCAGATGCGCGTCGTGGGCTTCGTCTGTCGGCTCGCGCCGCGCAAGGTCCGAGGGCGAGGACGCATTCAGGTGTCGCCTCCACCTGATTGCTGCCGCTGCGATCGATGCCAGCAGGGCTAGTGACAGAATGCTTCGTTTTCCGTCGGGTGCGCAGCTCGTTCCAGCGTCTTCAGCGCCAGGGCTAGGAACTTTCCCTTCCTGCACCTGCTTCGGCTCAAAGTATTATTGGATGATGCTTGGGAACGGACCCCTGGTGGTGCGTTTCGTAGCTGTTGCTCAACGCCGCTTGCGTATTTTGTTCCTTTCGAGTGATTCCATTCTCAGCCTTTCCAGCCGACCTCCTTTCGCATTCCTCTGTCGTTCTCCACAGCCCGCCTGACTCCCGGCTTTGGCTGTTCAGGTCTGCGACGCCGTTTCGGAGCTGGCCGCGCTGGCGCTTGACGGCGACGGGTGGCCAGAGATAATTCCCTTTATTTTCCAGTGCGTCCAATCGGGCCAAGCGCACTTGATGGAGAGCGGGCTACTGATTCTGTCAGACTTCGCTCAGAAGGACCATCATGACTCGCTCAAGGAGTATAGCGGGCCCCTCCTTCAAGTGTTGGAGGCCTGTCTCAAGCACCAGGCTGGGGATGTGAAGCTCGCCGCTTTTGGGGCAACCTGTGCTGTTGTACAGGTACAGCAAGGACCTGTGCATTGGCCCCGTGCGCCCTCCCATGTGGCGCACATTGCTGAAAGTTGTTTGCCGTCTTCCCTGCCAGACATCCCTCTCCACCCTCGTCTTTTCCTCTTCCCCGGCATGAAGAGTACAGAGTCGTTGTTGACCAGTGCCCCATGGTGGCTCCCTGGTCCCCTTTTGTGGCTCTTTTTGGCGTCTCCCAGCCTTCACCCGAGAAGTCTGTGAGGAGGCTCATTTTGTATGGGAAGATAGGCACATACAGTGTAAATGTGGTGAATACAGAAAATGGAATTGGTGGCATATGAATTACAGGACGGTGACCTGAGTCCATTGTGGTAGTGCATCTTTGGCATAATGCAGATAATCCTTGCAGCCTGTCTCCTGTGTTTGGTTGTGAGTGCCGGTGAGAGTGTGCAACATAGTGACTGGCGCTGCTTGTTGTGGCACTTCCAATGCCTTGCTTTGGCACCTTGGCCATGGATGGTTTGGTTTGTAGGTTTTGCATTCTATCGTTGACCATCTGTTGCTGACGTCCACATCACCTTCCCAGGGCCGAAACAAGCAACTTTGGTCAGTGGAGTTGCCCTTGGTTGTCCCCCTGTGTGCCGATTTACAGTTGCAGCACTTATCTGTTGTCAGCTCAGCTGTGGTGAAGTGAGAAGATGGAAGGTGGTGAAGTGGTCCAGTTGGTGTGGTGACGACCGCCACGATTGCCATTATTCTAATCCAGTATTTCTTTGGTGTGAGATAGTAGGGGCTGGAGGAAACCCAGGAGCTGTCAAGATTCATGGTACTTGCTCCATCGTTGTTGGGAGCCCTTGCACACTCACTGAATACCAATGACACAGACTCAGCAGGCTCTGCATTGGAGGACATGATAGAGGTATGAACAAACATGTCTGCATCCATTTAGCGGCCACTCAGGATTTTCGCTCCTTGTTGCTTCTGCAATAAGCGCCAGTCAGGCGGTTGGAATCTGGATTTGTGTTTGCCACAAGAATTGGCACCACCTACGAATGTGTCCCTTGTGCAGCATGGAATAGTGAACAAATGAAATATGCCTTCACCCATGGAACAGCATCCTTTGAACATCCTTCCTGCAGTTGTTGAACCAGGAACTGGCTTGTGTAATGATGATGTGGAACTTGCATTTTTAGAAAGAAGAGTTTGTGTCACGATCGCTGTGGAAATGGGACGACCTTGTTCCCATGTGATGTATGCAAGGGTCCTGAGCTGCTTTCTCCGCTGTTTGACTCTATCTGCTGCATGAATCATAGGCAGTTTGGTGGACTAAGGGGAAAGGTACACATAGCTTACAACCTCTTGCCTGGGGCTGGCAGCTGACCAACTTGTGAGTCCCCTACCTGTCAGGCATGGGAGAATAATTCAGTGCACTGCAAGTCTCTCAAACAGGGGCTTGTAGGGTACAATACTCCAGGGGAGCAAATTGTGGTGCATCACCTTGTGGCAAAGTGGTCACTCCTGTGTCCATGACACACTACAGATATCATGAATAGAAGGCAGTGTCCACATTCAATGCTTGCTCTGGTTGGATAGATGTCTACTCACCTGGCCTGCCTGTGATCGGCACTGCACATTGATATGCAGCAATGAAATTGCTTGAGCTCACAGAGATTGAGCTTGATTGTGATTCTTATGCCCATTTATAGGGAATTGGCAGGGAGGCAAGAAAACTATGAGTCTGGCAGTTACCTGATCTCTCCTGTAGTGATTGCTTGTTTGCAGATAGCAGAACAGGCGCCCCGTTTCTTTAGGAAGCACCTTCCAGATGTGGTGTCGGCCATGCTCCAGATTGCCGAGACAGATAGTCTGGACGACAGTGTACGGAAACTTGCGGTCGAGCTACTGCTCACCCTCTTTGAGAGGAGAGACCAGCTGCCTGGGCTACTGAAACGCCTCCCAAATTTTGTGCAGAGGCTGTTTGGGACTCTGTTGTTCTTCCTGTTGGATGTGGAGGTGAGCACAGTGCGTGGTCCATGCTGTGCAGTTGGGTATCTGCGCAAACACATACCCCAGTGCACATTACACTTGATTATGTTTCCTGGGCTTCCTGCAACGTAGCTGAGACTGTGCTGCCCGAGAACAGTTCATGGTATGTTGTTCTGTTGACAGCGGTACAGCATGATGGCAATCCTTAACTATCCCTGAAAACTTGTTGGGCTATGAACAATTAGGAACTATGGCCTGGTTCCTTTAAAGGACCGGGCCAGGACTCCATTAGCAACTCATCGCAGTGTTGTTTGGGACTTGTTGTTCACTGGATCGGGTATTCAGTCCTAGCTGGACGTCATCAGGTCATCAGCTGCGAAAATGTCACATATGTGTTGCACATTTCAGCTGCTCATGCCAGTTGCTTGACCCCACCCAGCGTTGTCATAGCAACCGTTGGCTGGGTTGGTGTGTGGCTTGACGCCCATCAATGCTTATCGGCAATGAGCCAAAACGAAGCACCGATGTGCATGTATGCATTGTGTGCTTCAAGGGTGTTCTGTTGCCATCCTATGCAATTTGGTGGACATGCATTGACGAGTTCATCTTGCATTCATGCGCACAGCCTTGGAGTACACATTTGTCACTTTTAGAGTGCCCCTTGTTCGCATTTCCACTGATGCCATCAGTGGCTTGTTTCATGCTGCAAAACAGTGACGCCATCTATTCTTGTATTCGGAAATGCTCCAATGTATAGTCTGTTCCCTGGTTCTCGAGAGTACTACAACAATCAAACATATTCTGCTCATGTAAAAGTTGTTTGCCCAGGATGTCCCAGAGTGGCACCAAGCCACCGAACCTGAAGACGAGGACTCTGGACACGGTGAGAGGTTTGAGGTTGGCCAGGAGTGCCTGGACCGCATGGCCATGGCCTTGGGTGGCAACGTGGTTGTGCCTGTGGCGGGCAGTATGCTAAACATGTGGATCGGGGACCAGGACTGGAAGAAGAGGCACGCGACACTCATCTGCCTGGCACAAATAGCAGAAGGATGCGCAAAGGCAAGTCCTCAGGGGAAGCTGCTGCATGGAGGATTTCCCCAAGAACGAGATGAGCCAAATGGCCATTTATAGATGAACCCTGCAGGGTAAACTTACACAGCCTGAAGAAAAACTCTTCAGACAGTTACACCGTATGTGGATAGCTGAATTACACAGATATTAACCAGAGGAGGTTTTATGGAATTGCCGTTGGCACAGGGCAAGGGCCTGTACTGAACAGCTGCACCCAGTTTTTAAAGTGCAGTGGATGTGGGACTTGCATCAGTATGGTGGCAATGCTGTCACTCTAAGCCATCCTGAGTGCCTGGGGACACAGTGGAGTTGATGCTGGCATAGTGCCGATCTTGTGGACAGTCAAGTGCTGCTGGTGCTGCAGACAGAGGTCATTCTGTGCTGGCAGACATGGCACCTGTTAGCAGCATTTTCTTCAGTTTGGAGGCCAATGGATGGGCTCCTTGCAACATGGCTGAGAGAATGTTCGAATGAAGAAATGTGCAAAGTGGTAGAGGCACAGCACTCCAGGGGGCCTGGCACGTCAGAAGGATAGCAAAGAGCAATTGTTCATTTGTTCCAACTGTCCAATGTTCGAGTAGTTGTCAGTGACCTCAGAAGGTGTTCGCCTGCAATGGCAGCATACCCTTGCCCAACTGTCAGCATGCACAACCATTTCACAACTTCATGCGAGGGAGAATGCTGCTGTGTGTTTGACGCTCTGCCGGCGATGTGTGAACTGCAGGTCATGCTTTCAGAGGTGGATGCGCTAACTGACATGTGCCTCAAGGGGGTACAGGATGCACAAGTCAAGGTGCGCTGGGCGGCCTGCCAGGCCCTGGGCCAAATGTGCACAGACCTGGGGCCTGAGCTCCAGGAATCCCAACACCAGAAGATTCTGCCAGCCCTGATCACAGTCATGAACGACAACTCGAACCCCAGAGTGCAAGCCCATGCCGCAGCTGTTGTGGTCAATTTCAGTGAGTGCTGTGAGCCTGAGCTGCTGGAGCCCTACCTGGAGGCGATCATCGGCAAGCTGCTGCAGCTGCTGCAGCATGGCTCCAAGGTGGTCAAGGAGGGCGCCCTGACGGCGATGGCCAGTGTTGCGGACTGTGCTGAGACAGGTTTTGAGAAGTATTACGACTCGGTGATGCCACTGTTAAGGAGCATCTTGCTGGGTGCCGCCAACAAGGACCACCAGCTGCTGAGGGCAAAGGCACTGGAGTGTGTTTCCCTGGTGCGTTGCATGCCTTGCAGGCTTTATTTTTTATGAAAGCGCTGTGCTCAATTCTTGTGACAGGACTGGAGGAACATTCTTAGAAGTACAGAATAACAAGTGGTGCAGAGATTGTTGTCGATCTTTGTTGTGTGCCACAGAAATGTAGTTGTGGAATTGGACTGAACAGGCAAACCCTACAGCTTCCACCCTGGTCCAGATGCGAAGGCAGCCAGTGCAATAGAATTGGATTAACTATGTTGAAACTGTTTTTGGCTGTTGAGTTTCGTTTTTGTGAAAGTTGGGTGAGGATCATAGGATCCAAAGGGCTATATGGACGGTGTTGGTCATGTTCGCCGTGTTCGCCGTGTTCACTGGAAGAATCCTGCCTAGTGTTTCAAATGGGGTTATTTTGCGTGTTGTCTGCCTTGCTCTCTTGCTGCACCCATGCTAGGCCAGCACAGTTGTTGCTTGCCGCGTCCCAAGCAGGCTGTACCACTTTGGGCCTGGTGAACAGTGGGACGGCTTGCAAGAGCGAATCATTTTGGGTGCAAAGAAGTGCTGATCAATGAACGCATCCATTATGAAAAGAGGATACTGGACGCATGGGTTGCCCCTCCTAGTGTGTTATCACGCATGGTGACATATTGATCTGTTTGGAAGGTTTTCCTTTCATGTTCAGCTAGAAATTTGATTGGAATATTTGTGTGCAAGTGGCTGATTCCAGCCTGTGTCCCACCTTGCGGCTGGTTGCAAGATCGCTTTAGTCACAACTCATGGTGTGGGTGGTGTGCAGCATAGCAAACTTGATGCACTGAACAAACAATGATAGGATCATTCTGTGTCCACGGTGGCCTGCGCTGGGCGGGGGCATTGTTTGACATGGATTCTAGCAAGTGAAAACTATGGAACTTCATGCAAGCAATGACCTTGTGTAGCGTTACCTTCACAGCTGCTTAAGCACTCCTCAGTATCCCAGTCTTCATGTGCTGCTGTCCATCGTGCTCTCAGCCCAGTAATTCGAGTAACTGCAGCGCAGGACACAAGTCCGAATCTGGTTGCTTGAGCGACACTCCATGCTTGCTTGGGGCCATGGAGTACTGCTCACTGCGACCCCAGTGACCAGTAGAGCACCCATCAGGCGACTCAGAAACACCTTCAAGTTGCTAAGGCGCTGCTTTCTCACATCTTTTGGCAGCTGCACCCATGGCGAACTCAAGCAAGCGCAGTGCTTGACAGTCTGGCGAAAGTTATTGATGCACTCCCTATTATCTGAAGGTGGCTGTTCTCTGCATCCTCACTGTTTCTTCCCAGACTGAGTACAATCGATTCGCACAGCCGACCCGCACATTCACCCTTAGTTCTCAGAAAGGTTGACATCTGGACGAAATGGGAAAGGAGCTAATAGACCGGTCTGTTTGTATTGACAGGTTGGCATGGCCGTTGGCCGGGACCGATTTCGACCTGATGCGCCCGAACTTATGCAGGTCTTGAACCATCTGCACAACTCAAAATTGGATGACGATGACCCGATCACCGGCTACCTCCTGCAGGCGGGCGCCAGGCTGTGCAAATGTATGGGTCAAGAATTCTTGCCCTACCTGCACATCGTGATGCCGCCCCTGTTGAAGGCTGCCCAGCAGGATCCTGATGTGAAGGTATCTGGAAGGTGCTTGTTTGTGGCTTCCCATGTGCAGCTGTTTTACAGCCAGCAGCACCAGGAAGTTGTTTTGCAAGCCGTGCGCCTGTGGTGTAATTGCTTCGATCACAGTTTGCATTTCTTGCCAGTGCTGCGCACTATTTATGTATGTGTGTATGCCTGTCTACTTGTTCTAAACAGGGAGCTGCACAATGCAGATGCGGTAGCCCCCAATGCAGCTCCCAAGCTGCTGAAGCATTGCCTATTGCCACAGGGTGTGCCTCTGCAGTTGGTTCCTCTGCACTGCTTTGTGCAGTGGAGTCCCCTCTCAGTACTGAGGAGATGAAGTTGCCTCCAGCAACCCCCCACTCTCTGCACATTTGTCAGACCATTGCCATGCTTCCTCAAATATGCCTGGTCGTTCGGAGGCCCCATGTTGGCACACTGCAGTCCATTTGGAAAGGACAGAACAGGTGCAAGCGTGCATCTTAGCTTCCCTTGGAGCGCTTGGAATTTCTGATTCATGTGCGAGTTTCCATTTCCAGGTCTTGCCCATTGACGATGATGAGCTGGATGCGATCGGAGATGCAGACGATGAGGACAGCGAAACAATAGTTATTGGTGACAAGTTCGTCCAAATCCGAACAAGTGTGCTCGAGGAAAAGGCCACTGCCTGTCAAATGTTGCGGTGTTATGCGGATGAGCTGAAGGATGGGTTTGCACCTTATGTGAAGGAGGTGACAGACATCATGGTACCGTTGTTGAAGTTTTACTTCCATGAAGATGTGAGTGGCATGCATTCTTCATTGTGAGTGGGGGCTGCTGTGCATCTTCCTTCAATTTTATATGTGTTTATTCTGCTTTTACACTGCTTTTATATTGTACCCATAGTTTGCTTGTATACGTTTTACATTGTTCATGCCCATTCCAGATGGGTGCCAGTTGGAAACATCAATCCTCCATGTATGTGCACGGCTGTAAACTTCCATTTTGACTGCGATTGTTCCATGACAACTGAACACTTGAATGGGCGGCTGTCCCAAGTTCAGAGGCCATTGCTGGATTGGTCAAATTGTGGTGTGCCTGGGCAGTCTCTGTGTGGCCGTGCCATTTGCGTGGCCTTCTGTGCCTTGGCATCCATCGGGTTTTCATGCACATAGTTCCAAAGATGTTGCACTGGCAATGCACTGGCCATCACCTGCAGGGTGTCGATGGGCACTGTTTCTGACATGAGACTTTGCCACAGAGCATATGCCTGCTACCTGGCGATCGTGAGCCCAGATCTGATGTTAGCTTTTGGTTGTTAACTGCTGTGTTACACTTTCTACATTTGCGTGTTGATATGCACATTGAAAACTGCATGAACTTGTTGCCTCAGGGCGCCTGTGAAAAAGCTCTAGACGTTATCCCTGCCATGAACTGCAGAACATTGTCGATTGTTGAAGGATTACTTTGGTGCACTTTGAGAATTCACAGCATCTTTCTTGCTGGATGCATGGAATATTGTTTGTATCAAGCTGTATAGTAGGTTTCAAGCAAACTGAATGCTTTGTTTCTATTGGCAGCAATACCTCCGTTCCCTTATCCTGATTGTCTGCAACAGGTTCGAAAGGCAGCTGTTCAGGCGATGCCTGACCTCCTGCAGTCTGTGGTGGTTGCCGCGAACAAGTCCAATGGGGCCAACATGCCCTTTGTGAAGGAGATGCTGGACTACATATGGCCGAACATGATGCAATCCATGTCCAAGGAGATGGACCTGGATGTGCTTACCACTTTCCTGGACGCCACGTCAAGCATAGTGGATATTGTGGACAGGCAGCTCCTGGACGAGCAGAAGGTGAAGATTGTCTCTAATATACCCTCTTGTGTCATGCATTGGGGATTCCCGTCCTTTTTGCGCGACTCTGTTCAACAATGCACAGGATGATGCGAAGTGCTCCAGCAGAAATGGCAAGCGGCAGAGAGCAGAGAGCAGTGCTCGTTAGCATGCAGGTTTCGGCCATTCACAAGTGGGAAGCGCAGTACTATCTGTGCCAGAGTGTACAGTCGTATTTTGAGGCCAGACTTCTAGTCAGGGACTGCAAGGCTACATTTGCCGACATCTGTTCTGGCCGTTGCGGTGGTTGTCGGCTGGGGTCTGATCCGCTTGGTGGTTCTCCTTGACACAGGTTGAGTCCTGCTTCCAAAAGTTCGAGAACATCTTGAAGGCAAGCGAGAAAAGGAGGAAGGAGCGCATGAAGGAAAGGCAGGAGCAGCAGCAGGAGGAGCATGACGAGTATGAGGCTGAGGCGCTTGACGAAGAGGATGAAGAGGAAAACGAAATGATTGATGAGGTACTGCATGCAGCTATTGCATGAATTTTTTTGCCACGACCTGATTAGGCTGTTCACACCACGTGATCATTTAAGCTAAGGCCAAATTTCAGGTGCCAATGAAGGTATAAAGTTTCGTGTTGGATATTTTCTCTTGGCATTTTCTTTTCGCTGCCAGGTGCTGCCATGGAAAGGATGCCCTGACTCACACCTTGCCCTGCGGCATCGGCGGTTGCTCAGAGTCTTACACACTGAATGTTGGTGTGCATCCACTGGCCATTGCCCTGCCCTTTGCTTCTGTGCACACAAGGGTCAGTTCTTCTGAGGACTGAGGGGAGTTGTGTACATTCTTTTCCACTGTTTTGAAAAACATTATTCACACATGCATTTGCTCACTCTCTATTCAGTTTTGTGCTGTTTTTGGATAGGTTGGCTCCTGTATTGGCGCCTTCCTCAAGAAATTCAATGATGCCGTCCTACCTCTCCTAGAGACCCTCATGCCCATCCTTGGGACTCTGTTAGAGAAGACCAGGACGCCTGCGGAACGGAGGATTGGCATATGTGTCATGATCGATGTGCTTGAGCACTCTCCAGCGGGTGGCGACAAGTATGTGCGCGAGGTGCTCCCAATCCTGATGGAAGCCATGCGAGAAGAGGACCCCGATCTGAGACAATGTGCTGTGTTTGGGGTGGGAGTGGTGGTGACGAAATTCCCCCAGGTACCTGCAAACACTGCCCTCTTGCTGCTTCATGGATGGCAATTTTCCAAAGAAATGTCTGCACTCTTAACACTGTCCACAGGGACACCTAGTGCTAGTTTGCCCATGTCGACCAGTCAGCGCTGCCAGTGTTGTCAAATTGTGAATCGGTTTGGTAATCTTGGATTCTGCAGAAGCAGGCGGCATCGGCACCTGCACCGTGCGATTCCCAAGTTGGTGGTGCTGAGGGCATTGCGATGGTGGCGATCTTTGGGCCCTTGTTTGAATCGCAAACAGTACTTGTTTGCCAGCGGGGCGAAGCACACACATATTGGCGAGGTTCAAATATCCTGAATTGTTGTGAATTGCAGCGTGGCTCTCTTGTTGTCCAAATGTCCACCTCCGGCCGCACACAGCACCCCTGGCAACGATGGCTAAGTTCTTGCAACAAAGTGTTTTTTTGGTGTTTCTGCCAATGTGGGGGTTGCCCACAATTTCAAGTGTCTCCCTGTATCTACTGCACATCGTATGTCTACTATTTCGTTGCAAGGTACCAGGATATGCTGCCAGATTCAAGGCAAAGTTGCAACTCTGTGTTGCAATGCCATTCTTCCCATTCACTATGAAACGCCACCATCTTGAAATGTGAGAGCTGCTGAACCGTTGGACTGCCTCTCACTGTGGTGCAGATTTTCAAGACGTATGTCAACAACGTGATCCCCATCCTGATATCCATCCTGCAACATCCCTCTGCATGCGCAGCTGGCAACGAGATGGCCACTGACAACGTGGTCTCCACTCTGGGCAAGGTCCTGCAATCGCACCCAGACTCCATGGACGGCCGCATGATTGCAGAGCTCTGGCTGCACAGCCTGCCCATCGTCAACGACACGGTGGAGGCCAAGAGTGTGCACGCGCAGCTGGTGGCCATGGTGGAGTCAGGAGACACGCGAGTGCTGGGAGACAGCAACAAGAACCTGCCACAGGTGTGATCCGCTTGCCAACGGCGGACCAGTGCCCCTTGAGATTTGCTGCATGTCAGGCAGGTGACGGCAGGCATGTGTACATTCATGACATTGGTTTGATGCTCATTGGTTCATTACTATACGCAATGCCTGCTCACACCATGTGCCAAGTCCAAGGTGCCCAGGCAGTTGTGTGCCATACTGTAATGAACGGCTCGAGTATATTGTTATCACAAGTAGGATCCTGAAACCCGAACCCGTTGCAGGTGATCGACGTCTTCGTGCAGGTGCTGGGGCATGGACGGGAGGTGGTGGCCAAGGATGTGGGTGCACGGATGGTGGCGTTGATGAACCAAATGCAGGGCAGCCTGCCAGCAGAGGTTGTGCAGGCGTCGCTGGCCAAACTGTCCAGCAAGCAGCAGCAGGCATTCCAATCCTGGATGGCTGGGAGTTCAGAGGGCTGAGGGACAGAGGCATGGGTGAGGATGGACTTTTAGGTTAGACTTGTGCTTGGGTTGTTTCTTGCGTTCGACTGGTTGATCACTGCCATCGCATCGCTAAGACTGTCGATTGCAACTGGCGTGCCAGCTTCCAGCTCCTAACCCTCACTCGGGGAGATCGGTTCTTAGGCTAGTTTAGGTTGTGCTCCCGCGGGTGGAGAGATGTGATACGTTGAACACTGCCCCAGCAGCACCCTTGCGCTATAGCTTGAAATGCACAATCAGCCCCCACCTGGCCTCCATATGTGGTGGAATGGGTTTTCGGTTTCAGTTCGCGCTTGAGCAGGTTGAGGGCTACGATAGTTAAACGGCACCCCGTTGACACCCTCCGCCACTATCTGACAGTGGATGTGGGCGGGTCATATCCAAGTTCTTTGCCTCCCCCTCCTCACCTGTGTTCAGACGTGGGGTGGGGTTCCAATGTGTCGGTTGCCACACATGGGATGCTGGCACATGGACCCCTTTGTCCCCTGGCACAGGCGTCCTAAATCTGTGCGGACACATACAGGCCGGAGGGCGTGTTCGCGAGGGGGCGTGGAACCGGGCCACCGAGTTGGTGTTGAGGTTGTTAGGCTCTCCTGAACGTGTATTCCTGGTCTCTTGTCGGCATTGTTTAAATTCTTGGACGGCTTTTCCAAGCAAGCTCCCTCCCCCGCCTTTCCTCCCTCCCTTCCCTGAACATTTCCCTGGGCAATAACAAGGCCACCCCGATCCTGGCGGGCCTTCCGTTCAGACCTGCAACGACTCGCTTCCTCCCTGATGCGATTCAGGGGAAGCGGGGGGGTGCTGTGGAACGTTCCAGCCAGTTGCAGGGCCCATGATCGACCTTCACCACCGCTGCAGTGTTGGGCAGCTATGGACCCTGCCAGTGTTGACCACTCCCGCCCCCGACTTTGCTACACTTCACATCTCGTTCTGGAGGCGCTGACCACCACAAGAGTGCCGCCAACGCATCCAAGCTCAAAGCTTGCAGGACAGTGCCAAAGGCCTGCATCGAGTTGCCCAGTCCCACAATGCGTGTGCGACAGGCGCCAAGGAGCTGCTGAGAAACGCTCATGAGACATGTCGCAACCCATGTGTACGCGCCCGATGCACACGCGCCCATATCGAATGTGGATGAAAGGCCGTGAAATCGCAGTCGCATCCCCGCCAGCGTGCACGAATGCCGTTCATGGGGCATCCCTCAATCGAAGGGCGCTGTGCTTGGCACCGCTACAGCAATGCAATGGCTGCGAATTCGGCCGTTCCACTGAAGGGAAACACTTCGGCAGACTCGGAAGAAGAGTGGACACAATGCACCGAATACGTTACACTTCCAGGAGCCAATTCGCATGCTTGAGTTGCTTGGAAATAAACCAAAGAATCGAACGATATACTGTACAGGCCGTGGCCCTCGGGCGAGTGCATGTGCACAGGCATTCGGCTCGCTCCATCCATTCCTCCCTGGGTGCGCTCGCGGGACACGGCCGGTCGCTGGCAGGGGCGGTCACTCACATGGCGCGGTGGCTGGGGGGAAATCACACAGACAACATCCAGCTGCCGCGGTTCTGTCAGGCTCGGGTCAGCAAACGTGGCCGAATCATTGTCAGTGCCCAACGGCAGCCATGGCGCCCTGCATTTCGCCGGAGTGTAGGCCCTCAGGGTTGGTCACGCTGTCTTCTCCGACTGTGTCACTCCACAGCACGGCCGCCGGGGGCTCTTCAACACGATCGAAATGCAAAAGGCCGCATCGTCGGCCCGCCGCACGGATCCTGGCCGCCGATGTCCGTAACCAACTCAGCGTTGCACAGTCTCCACCCCGTCGTGTCCGCTTCACCGTCACTTCCCTGCATGGCCTTTCGCCCGAGTTATATCGAGCCTCATGGTCCATTGCGTGTGGGCGTCATTGGCCCATCGCCACATTCGCCGCCGACTCGATGGCAGTGGCACCATCGATCCAGGATCTCGGGCTTAAGCGAGGTACATCGGTGGAACTACGTCCCTGCCTTGGCTTGCATTGTTTCTTGAGTTTGATCGAAGCGTCACAGACCCATCTCAAGAGAGGCTCCACAGACCCATGGGCTCAGTTGTCACTGAACCATGATCTCCATAATTTCCACGTGTACCCATGTGTTGGTTGCCCCCAAGCCATCTTGACACGGCCACCATTTAACCCGTGGCCTCCACTGTCATGGCAGACTCACAGGCATGTCACCCACACACAATCGCAGTGCACAGCCACAGTGCACAGCACGGTGTTGAAATTGCAGCCCCGGGTATGTCACCTGTACGTGCGATATCCGGGCACGTACATAGACTCACGTATGTACTCCAGCAGGTTGGTGGGCTTAGGCAAGTGGGTGGCTGTGCCCGCCTCGTAGCTCTTCTGGGCCACCGCCCTTGCCACCATCGCTGCCACCTCCCTCAGCTGATCCAGGGGTGGAAAGATCGCGCCTCGCGATCTGTCCTCATCCGTCACCAGCCTGGCAACCGCAGACGCCGCGGCGACGAATTGATCGGAGCTCAGGCGAACAGATCTGGACACCAGGGTCCCAAGGGCGACGCCTGCAGGCAAACGACACTGCTGATTGGGCGCAGTTGCGTCAGGGTGGCCGGCATTCGAGTTGGAGGGAGCAATTAAGCCCAGTGCTTCTGTGGTGCTGTGTCTTGGATGCTGGCTATGGAGTCTTGGGCATGACATCCAAGCCAGAAAGTGCCCAGGAAGTTGAAATCCTCGTGCGTGACACTGGATTTGTGGCCTTTGAGACACGCTCAGATGCCATTTAATTGGTGTCTGCAACTAATTTGCTGAAGCTGAAGGCCTACAACATTCCCCTAAATCCAGCAGCACATTCTAAGCCTGCATGAGGAAGGCTTCCAGGAATGTGCTGCATTTTCTGAAATAGCAAAGGAGGTTCTGGAAAAGAAGGAAAACACTACATACATTGGGATGTACTCTCCTGAACAAATTCTCCTTGAAACTCTTTGACAAGCTATAAAGATCATGCAAGGGTCCATGGCCTATCTGTGATGCAATGGTTGGAATCCCATATACAACTGCTGTAGATGCACAGACGGAGAAAAAACAAGCAAAAAGGCAGTGCAGGTCGCCACTACTACTCTTCCAACGTTGGCTTACCTGGAAAAATATATGTTGTGTTGCACTGGCTGGGGTGCATCGTGGTCCCATCAGGAAGGGTGCACTGACTGGAAGTGCCCTCCACCTGGGCTGTTATGCACCGACCTGCAGTCCAGTTGTATGCCTCTTGCGCAGTGCACTCTGCCCCAGATGGGGTCAGCGGGAATATGATGGGCCTCTCTGCGTTTTCTGCCATCGCGCGGCAAACATGTTCATCAAAAGGGAAGGGGTAGCGCGATGTGAAGCTGCACCCGATGAGCACCGTGGGTTTGATGGCCTTGACAGCTGTGATGAGGTCAGGGCAAGCAGGCGCACTGTGGCAATACGGCAGCTCAAACGACTCGATCAGTCCGGTGTTGCCACGTTCCCGCGTAACAAGCCCCCTTGAGTCCAGAAGCCTGTGACAATGTAACGAAACAGTTTCGATGATTCACTCTTTTCATTCAAAGGAAAAACAAAACAAGAGGGTCAAGTGCCAGTCTGGTTTAGTGATGCCTAGAGTCTAACCATTGCATAGCGTTTTCACTTCCAGCACTCGCTTGCAGGAAAATTAAACGTTCTCCAGTACTCACGATAGACAGGCAGCTTCTGTTGGACACATTGACCAGGGCACATGGGGAACATGTGGAGGTTTGATCCTTCACTGCAGTGCTGAGAAATTTGGTTGATAATTTTTCCAGGTGGCAACAGAAGATCACACAACAGGAGCGGACGTCAACAATCATGTACTAAAATGCAATCATGAAGTGTGAAACAAATCACAAATTGTGTCCAAACACATCGCACATCAGGCAACAAAGGTTATGGACAACAGGATAGCTGTGGGTGATTGGAAGCTGCTCGATGCTCAGCAGATTCGACGGCCCCCAGTTACGCGCATTGACCCTGTTCTTGCACACCATTCTCAGATTGGGCCATTCAATGGCTGGTTTGAATGGGCCCTTCGAACCCATGGCATTGAGCGGTCCGTTCTCTGATTAGGCCATTCAAAGCCCCGGCATTGCCCACCACCACCCCAGACGGGTTCCGAACAAAGCGAGAGTCCCCCACGACACCCACCACACGTTCTCCCGCGCCTCCAGCAGCGTCTTGCCCGTCTGCCCCGCCACCGCCATCGCGATCACCTCCGCCGTCGCCGACACCAGCTCACCCCGCCCCGCCAGCAGGAACCTGTGCTCGTGCAGCGCTCGGCCCGTCAGCGGTAGCGCACCCAGCACGCCCGCCAGGATGGTCGCCGCCCTGCCCTGGCTGCCGTCGTGCAGGCACGGGAACTCGCTCTGGTACATCCCCACGAGGGACGTCGCGTTCTCGTACTTCATGTCCACGAACTGGATCATCACCGTGTTCCCGTATCTCCGCCTGACTGCCGTCAGGAACTCGTCCATGAGCTCGTTGTACGCCTCGCCCCGGGATCGCCTCTCCTTCACTCCCACATAGAACGGTGAAGCCAGCAGCTCTTCATTGTCGGTGCCGACGTCCAGGACCACAGGCACGCACGCATCCGGGTGCACGCCGCCCGCGGCGGTCATCATCATGAGCTTCGATACCGGCACGCCGATCGCCTGGCAGCCCAGATCGACGTTGTCCTCCGGGTTGAGCTGCGGCCCCAGGTTCTCGCCGTCCGTGCACACCATGAGCTTGACGCGCCGCTCCGGCCAGTTCTTCAGGATCTTGTAGACGCGCCCGCGGTCGGCCAGCGTGATGAACAGCCCGCGCGGGAGGCTGCGGAACATCAGGCTGTAGCGCTGGCAGGCCAGGCGCATCGTCGGGTTGTGCACCACGGGCAGCAGCTCCTCCAGGTTCTCGATCAGCACGCGGTAGAAGAGCGTCTGGTTGCGTTCGTGCAGGGACATAAGATAAGTGTACTTGTCCATTGCGTCCGCTTTGCCTCGCACGTTGAGCACCGTGCGCTCCAGCTGCACGCGCCCAGATAGCATCGCCGGCGGCAGCAGGCCGCGCAGGTGCAGGCGGTCGCGCTCCTCGCCCCCGAAGCACAGGCCCTTGTTGTACTTGGGGTTGCGCAGCAGGTCGACGCCGCTGACCACCTGCCGGACCCACGGCGTGCGGCACCCGTCGATGTCGTCGGCCGCGTCGTCGCTGAGGCCCCGCGCGGCGCCCAGCGCCCCATGCCGCCACTGCCGGCCGGCCCTCCCCGCCAGGCCGGCGCACCTCCGCCGCATCATTCAGCGATGGGATCCCGAAGATCGCCCTTGCAGGACCCCGAATTCTTGAGGACGAACGGCGTGTGGCGATGGGCGCCTGCGGCCCGCTTGGGCCGCTCGCCCGGCGGGGTGGGGGTTGGGCGGGAGGGCACGGGCGGCGCCGCTGTCGGGCCCTGGACGCGGAGTGGGGGCGTGGGGTTCGCAACGCACGATTCGTCGGGTTGGAGTCTTTGTGGCTCTCAAGTTCAGAGTCGAAGGTAGCACTGTAACTTCAGAGTCTAAAGTACTGCGATGTGCAAGCACGTCTGTGTGCGTCTGTGTGCGTGTGTGGCCAGACCTGGTAGGACCTGTCTTGCTGTCTGCTCGCGAAGGCGTCCCTCTCCCCGCGCTGCCGGTCTGGCGGCAGGATGTTCCAAAAGGGATCTGCGCTCGGGCGCCCGCCCTTGGGCGGCGGCTGCGTCCGTCCCCGTCGAGGCCTCAACGGCCGAACGCTGCGAATCGCCTGTGCCCTGAAGCCGGAGGACGCGCAGAAGCGGAAGGATGGCAAGGCGGCCGGCAGGGCGCCTCGCGACGGTGACGCCCAACCGGTGGGTTGCATCTCTGATTGCCTCCTCGTCGGTGTTGATCTGCGCGGGAGGAGCCACCTGGCCGAGGGTAGCGGTCGCGCGGGCCAGCCCGGGAAGTGTTTGTTTTGATCGGGGCGTGGGCATCTGAGAACACGTTGCTTGTGTGGGCGCCCACCCGTTGCGGAAAGTTCTGCGGCGCGGCGCCACCCGATTGTGGAATCGGAGAATTGCTTATCAGGGCTGTTGTGGGCTCGAGAACGGGATATCTCGTTGGCCATCAGCTGTTAGGGGCGGCGGGTTCATGCTGTGTTTGGCAGTTGTTGGGTTTGATCGGTACCTGGTGTGCATTTGGACGCATGTTCTAGCTTGGGGCGCAGGAGGTGCATCGCTTAGTGGGCTAGAATGCCCTTGCCTCCCTTGCCATGCTTGTGGTTGGTGATTCTACGAATTGGGGTGCTCCATGCGCAGTAGACAGGAAATGGACTAGGGGATGGGGAGGCGCCACCTGCAGTGTGAAAATACATACGGAAAGATGCGGAAATAGGGACATTCAGATAGAGGCAGTCAGCAACCTTGATCGACTTTGGCAAGTTGATCTGTTGTCACAGAAAAGGCCACTAAAAGTGGGTGCAATGGATGGATCTGCTCGTGCAGAACCAGGTTGTAGAAGTCTACAATTTGCCACAATGCTATCGCTCATGTTTTCCACCCCCACGCTTGCTTCTCAGCAAGTAGTCATAAATGATGCACAATGGCAGGGAAGGGTAACAGACTATCCCACAGCAATATCTTTCCAACTATCATTTTGGGTTCAACACTGTAGCAGGGAACCATACTTCACTTTCGGTTTGCGAACACCTGTAAAATGGGATTTTCTATGTCTCCAACAGACATCTGCTCAGATGGGAGGCAGCAAATAAACACTAGCTGCCTTGCTTGCTGTAGTTTGAGAATAGATTCAGGACAGAACTTGCAAAGCCAGGATGTACATCGAGAGTCTGGTTGGAGTCTAGTCAGTGAAGGCTGGCGGGATGGGCATTGTTGTTGGTTTCGCATCGGCAGAAACATGATGTGTGCCTATTCTTGCTGCTCACCTGGTTAATTGCATTTGCGATTTCAGGGGAGCAGCACCTCTGAGCCTGTGGTACCAGAAGTGTTAGAACCATCCACAAGTGGACGCCCAGGGCAGGGAACCAATGGAGTCACCATCGAAGCCGATTTTGAAGACACTTTGGTGAGCAATGCTTGGGCTTTCAGCATACTGTGCAATGTGGCACAATTGTTTTATCATCGAATTTGCAGCTGCTGGAAAGGCTGCAGGGAGGTGTTTGCGCAACAAAGTGCTGGCGGTTTCAAGTATCAGCCCTTGTTCTTGCAGGGGTCTGAAAATATGTATGTGCCCTTCCCTGCATGAACATGTGCCAAAGATTAGAAGATGCACAGCCCCTGGAGAAAGAGACAGACCAATGAACGTTTGCAGTTTTTGTCCTCATGTGATCGAGACACCTGTCTTATCAGATATCCTATTCCACTGTCCCATAATGGACTGTAGCTGTAAGAGAGAACAAAGCTCATCGTGTGCCCATTCAGGATGGTCCTGCTGCGCGCCGTGCAGCCATCATTATGGAAATTGTGAATGCTGGAGGAGAGATAGAGGACAAGATCAAACAGCACAACGATGAAATTGATGAGGAGTTGTTGGATCTTCTGTTCAAAAGGATACAGTTGGCACGTGAGTATGGGGAGGTGGGTATCGAGTGAGCACTATGGTGCACCTGCAAGCATTGCCTGAAAAAACTCTCCAGAATGTGGTGACCGTTATTTGTGAATGAATAAACGCAATGCAATGCCAAGAAGCAGCGCACAATGTCACCATCGTCCCAGCATCTTTGCGCAGGAAATGGCAAGATTTGCTTGAAAGGGTCTTGAAGGGGGTGAGCTGCCTTTTGTGGTCAAAGTAGAGAAGTGGAGGATGGTGTGTGTATTTCCATCACAAGATTCTGGTGGGCAGTCCCTTCCAAATCACGCCCATCACAGCCCAGAGTATCCCACTGGTATGTGGTGTGTTCACAACCATGCACTCCAAAGTGAGTGTGTTTGGGTCCTCTGCTTGAACATACCCCACCCACAAGCCACAACCAGAGAAGTTGCCAAGAGGCAGAACTGAGATTGCCCTTTTTCTTTCTGCCTTAATAAATGTATATCGATGAAGAGTTATGCCATGCTCAATTTTCTGACACAGTGCCAGCTCTGATATTGACCAAATCTGCATGGATTGCCCCACCCTGGCCCAGCAAGAACGAGCCTAGATTCTGGGCCTTGACAGCCAGAAAGAGGAGGCATGGGCTTCTTATTGGTAGCAGCCCTCAAATTGTTCTTTCAAAAGTGATGCAAGCCTTTGAGAAGTCACAACTGCTATTTTTCTGTTGTTTAGTCAATGGAGTCTATCGAGGGCCTGATGACAATTTGGAGGCGCTTGCGCGCTGAGTGCGATCGCAAGAACTCCACACCAGCGATGCGCCTGCTGGATGAAGCCCTGTCCTTGATATCGGCTGATATGGGGGGAAGCCGAGAGGACCGGTACGTGTGCATGAATGACTGCGCCAGTTACTGCATGCATTTGATGCGTGGTGGAAGCTTGAAATTGATGCACTGAATGTGGAACAGGGTTTGGCCATTACTTACCAGACTCAGTGAGCTTCATTGACTGACGTTCCTCAGTCTCGAACTGTCAATATCACAAGATTCGTTGCCATCTTCCAGCAAAACAGGCACTGAGTGCCGTTTCTGCTTGAACTTGTCAGGTATGTTGCCAGTAGTCGAAACTGCTGCAATTTGTTTTTTTGCCGCAGACATGACTACCTTTGTTATGCAGCATCGATACCATCAGTCTTTGGGAAGGCAGAACTCCATTTTCTGCTGTTGGCACCCACTTAGGCCTCATTGCCTGGAGCTATGGAAGATTAGTATTTGGCCAATGATTAATAATGAGCGCGTATTATCTGATCTCAATGATGGACTGCTGTACATGAGGCCAAACATATCTATTGGGACAGATGGTTCGTTGGTCCCTGCTGCTGCTTTTTCATTGCTCCTCAGAAAAAAACAAGCAACTTGGTGTCCAGTCGTGCTGTGTGTCAACAGGGATAGTGTCAACAGTTGCTCCTTTGGGTTGAGGTCGGGTGCTTTCTCCAGTCTCTGGCCTCTCTTGTTCTACCATGGCTTGCAGCTCAGCAAGGTTGACAGAGTTGCTTCAGTGCATGACCACTTGAGGGAGTTGCCTATCTGCCATGTTGTGAAACGGTTTCTGGCATTTGGGGCGGAACCTGTTCTGCACAGGGAATCTGATGGATTCACATAGTGTCAGGACAGCTTGGGCTGGGGCTGTTGGAAGAAATGCTGGCCTATTTGTGTCACATTCTGAATCAAGCAGGAAGTCGTGCTTGAAACAGTGAAGCAGGTCATATGATGGTGCCCAGTGTGTTATCCCTTTACGGCGATAGGTCAGGTCGCATTCATTGATTCTTTGGTCTCATAGAACTGGTGCTATCTTGTTTGACTGCATGCTTCAAAATTGATTGCTCGCTGCCCTTGCGCATTCAAGAAGGTAGCGGCATCCTTGGCAGCACATGAGGCACACACGAAAGCCTGTATGACAGCAAGCCGCCAATGGTTGGCAGGGTGATTTGCGCTGAAGAGTTTGACTTCCGTTTGGCCAGGTTGGAGATGGTGTCTGACCGACTGGAAGCTGCATTCACTGGCCCACAGTCGCTCCCCGTTGACATCTTTGGGGTTGCTGCATCCCTGGCAGAGGGGGAAGAGCCCCCTGAGGAACTTGTGCAGGAGTGTGTGGCCCAGGATGCGTTTGTCAAGGAAGTGGAGGTGGGCATTCTGGCAGATCCTCATCTGATTGTTGTGACTGCACATTTCTTGCATCCTATCAGTCAGTTTCTGATGAACACCACACTCTATCAGGAACTCCCCTGTCATTGCAGTATAGTACCATCACTAAGGTGTATGTTCGGTTGAATTGTATCAGGAACAGGTGCACATGTTTCACGATTGCCTGCCCTTTGAAGCCGCCCACAGCAGCTGACTTTGGCTAGTACATTGCAAAATCAGTGTACTGCGATCGATCGCAACCCTGGTCCTTGAGGGCTTCGGGACCCTGTTGACAGTTCTTTGAGTCAAACAAGAGTGGACCACATAGGCATGGGGAGCCTTGTGGGGCCGGCAGAATTGGGTACAGCACAATTAATCGATGTAAATCACTCTTTTGCCACATGGAACGAAGTTGTTTTGTCACGGACACAAGTATATCTTGGAATTCAATTCCTTTCCCTCGACCACTGAATAAAAGAATGAATGTGGGACAGCAAACGTTTTGGGGTACAGTAGGGGTCCCTATAGAGCGCCCCTCCCAATGTCGCCCTCTTTTTTGGCTTGTCACCATTTCTGTAATACTTTATGCAGCTTAGTTGCACAGTGGCACCTCAGCTAGTACAGGGGGGGCCAGTTAGCGACCTCCTGAATGGCTTGTCACCATTCCCACAGTACTTTGTTTCACTGTGACAGGCCCCAGCCCCTGCAAATTCGGCGCTGCGACACGGCTAAGTCGCTGGCACCAAAAGCTAGCATGGGCCCGGTAGGCTGGGTTTAGCGTGCCCCATACACTGGCGGCCAAGGTACCCTCTACATCTGCGGCCAGGGTACCCCATATACTGGCAGCCAGTGTATCCCCTACAGCGGGGCTAGGGTACCACCTACACCAGCGGCCAGGGTGCCCTTTACACCGGCTGCTTAGGGTACCCCCCTAACAGTATAGTGCCCCCAGCCCCCAATAGCGGCCCTGTTTTGGCCATGTCACGGGGGGGCAGTATATAGGGACCCATACTGTATACACGTGCACATTCTTGCCTGCATGACGTAAGGGCTCCACTTTGTTTGACGGCACGTTTGAAGAATAGGCTTCATCGCTCCCTGACATGAGGAGCAGCCAGACAAAGATGTTGGCAGCTAAGGGAATCACAAATGTGTACACTGTGTACCATGAGTTGGACCCTGCCAGTTTCCTTTTCCTCCAAATGAGTCGAATGACCAATGTGCACATCACCCACAGTGTCCAGTATGAACAAGGTACCTTTGTTCCTTGTTATCGAAGTTGAACTTGCAAAAACACAACAGTTTACTGCCCTTGCCCTGTCAGGTGACGGCTGTGGAAGCAATGTAGGCATTTTGCTGTATTAGTAGGTGACAATGTCCCATTTGGGTACTGTCATTGAAACAGAGCGAAGGGCGCATACTCCTGCAAGGTTATGTAGCCATTGTTTGACATGTTTTTTGTGGCAAAATCCATCACGGAGTGGATTTGATGATGGTAGTTGAGCCCTGTGCGTCCAATGCAGGCACTCCTGGATACTGCCAAGAAAGAGTGGCAAGAAATGGAGAGAGTGCTGCAAAGAATGAAGGCAGACCTGGAGACCAATGGCTTAAGCGGTGACGACAGGAGGTGAGGTTGACGGGCTAGTTGCGTGCAGTGCTGCAAGACACATCAGGAAGACAAACACTTCTGGATGTGAGGAGCACCTGCCATAGTTAAATCGCTGTGTTGGCAGTGGTGAATGGTGATTGCACTTTAGGAGGTCAAATGTCGAAGCCCCCCAAGCACACACCGTTGCTGTGTCCAGAGATATACAGTGAGCCTCTGGATATCATGTGTGCAGATGAACTTGAGTGGATTCACACTTTGACTGCCGCTTTTGACTGCCGAGCTACTGCTGCACAACCTTGGTTTATGCCATACGAATCGCTGGCAATGCTTTTCTTCGCCAAATCGGGAGGTGATGCCACATCCTTTCCTCATTGTGGGAATTTCCCTGATGGATGGCATCATGGTTGATTCTGATCGTGATATATTGCTGGAGTTGTTGCTGCAAATCGGCAGATGGTGATCACTCCTGTGGAATGAATATGCCATCAATGTCGATTACTATCACATATTTTCGGCCTTGTGTGTTGAAGGGCACTTGAGCAGGAGGTGGACCGACTGAGCAAGGCAGCTATCGATCAGGAAGTCGCGCTGATGGATGTTGAGGAGATTGTTGGGTGTGCCAGAGATGTTCTGGTCTGGCCTCCCAGGGCCGACTAGCTTGAGGAATGACAGCTTAGCGACTCTAGTGAAACAGCATTGGGCAAGGGCCTGGGTTGTCTTGGGATTTCATTGCTGCTCGTCAATTCGATAAAGCGCATGAGAGGACGTTGTCAACTGGAGTACGGAAAATACAGATTCATGCATACACAACATGCAGGGCCGTTTGTCTGACGAACACCAGCTCTTTCGCGACCATCAGCTGGGCGACTGTATTTGAATCGCCTGCTCCAGGGTCCCGATTGGCATGTCGTTTCACAAGAAAATCACAAGAAAATGAATGTGAACAGGTTGTGGATTTCGCTCAGTTTAATTGAGGCAGACTGGCTGCAACTCTTCCCCAGGAATTGGAGTGCATTGAAAACAGCATACCATGCATGGTGCGCAAGATGGTAATGGGGCATTTGGCGCGTATCATTAAATGAGGCATTGCCATTGATTGGCTGTGTTTCTCTCCTGCGAGCGAGGGATCTGAGCGTCGTGTCCTCACAGGAAGTCGCAAAACTTCGCGACGCGTCGATTCCATGACAGCGCCATCACCAAAAGTCGCCAGCATTTGCAGACCACACAGCGCACGGCGCAGCTGTTTCCTCTCATTATCGCCTCAACCTCCCCCCGACTCAGCGCCGACCGTGCTTGGCAGAATTACAGCGTCCGGCAACCTCATGCCTTCCATGACCCCCTCCAACCCGATGTCCTCAATCAGCAGCACGCCTTCGGTCCCATCCTCCGGCGCCCCGTCCTCGGCACCAGTCTCCCGAATCGCTGTGTTCTGGAGGCCCTCGCAGGTGCCTATTCCGGGATCCCGTGGGTGTCTAGGCTGTGGAGGATGCTGAACCGATGAACTGCTAGAAGTGACCCACCCAAGAGGCCTTTGCGGGTCTCTGGTCGAGCCAGCCTCTGCACGTGTTCCGCCACAGCGCCCCTGCATGGGGACGATTGTGGGAGGTCCTGCTCGCTGCTCTGTTGCAGAGTTGAGCACCAATTATCAGGTGAGAAATGACGGTTTTGTACTGCAGGCGGCAGCCCCAAATTGAACATCCGAATGAAATTCAGCGGCTCGGGTTGAGGACATCTTCTTCAAGTGTCTTTTGCAATGTGGCTGTCGGGTTCAAGATGTCAATGTGAGTCATTGCATTTCCGCCGCCAAGCGTTTCGAGGGTGGTTGGAGGGTGCGGGGTCCTCCACCCTGGGCGCGGATCAAGCAACGTCCCTTGCCCTTTTGACGGTTCCCGATTGGTTTATGGATTACCGCCCAAGTGGGCTCTCATTCATTGTGCTATGCTTCGTAGAACTATGAAAAGTTACTGCAACATGCGGTGGGACTCCCCTCCTTGGCAACTGTGTTTGAACTGCCCAAATGCGCAGGGACGGCACGATGGCTCATACTGAGGGCTTCACAAGAAGCACAACCTATAAGTCGTGTAAACGCCGCCGGAAACTGAAACCACGGCAATGGTATTCAGTTTGCATGCTGCCAGCGGCGAATGCTGACGTTGCGCGAATACCGGTGGCGGCAGACCAGACGCTGCAACAGCAGACTCCGTTCGTCACCCAAGTGAAGCTTACTGGACAGGCTTCCCCTGGCCACACATTCTACGACTTGGTTCTTGCTGACCGCGCCAAGGCACCGCATTTGGTCGACAAATGCCTGCCGTCTTCTACACGTTATCAGTATTTGGACAAGAACTGCTCATCCTCGCTTAAGACGATGGCGCGTAGAGCACTAGCATTCCATCTAAAACGGTCCCCTTTGCGACTTGGTGTACAGCGTCTATATGGATGCCCAACATATGCCCGAGGCCATGGCACACGTGCCGCAATGTGCAGCCCCGGCAAGCCGCCGCTGGCTTACGTCGTGCTGCATCGTTCCCTGCCCTCGAAGATGCGCCAGCCATGATGAGCTTCATGAAATACGCCGCGCGAGCGGACGCAGGACGGCGTTTCGGCTCAGATTTGATGGTTTGAACCTCGGCAATGACCTGATCGGCGCCTCCTGCGTATTGCAGGACATGCTGACATGGATGACTGCAGCGCATATCGGGGCGGTTGATCAGCTGGTGTTGGCGGCTGAACCAGTGACATGTCGTCGATTAGACGTACAGCACAGCGTGTGTATCGGTGTTGTACCGATACGGATGGAGCTTTGTAATTCTAAGGCCCCACTACACAGAAACTGCACAATCCTGCACAGACCCCAACAAGCTCAAATGCATACGCGAATTCTGTGTGCGGTTCCGCTTGGCTGTCAAAATAGAGAAGCTACGCAAAAAAGCACCCTAGTGCAGATTGAGGAAGGAAGAGCCGCCAATCACCTCACATGCCGGCATCGTATGCGCTGGAGTTGGCACCTCTTCACTTTTAGCAAGTTTTCGTCCGCATGTCTATTGTCAGCACACAGAGAGTATGCCTCCTATCACATTCATTTCACAATGCAGTGGCCAATGCATTCAAATTGCAGCGTGCCGCCGTACTGAACGCTCCATCGCCCCGACGCCACCGCTGACGACTGGAAGATGGAACGCTATAATGGCAGCCGATATCCGTGCTGCTCCTGTGCAGGGCTCACCTATCTTCTCCCACCTGCCCACCCCCTGCCCTCGAGCACACCATGGGCCTCCTCACCCAAGTCGCAGCCAATAGCCATCTCGTTCTCCCCGTGCAGGGGCTCTGAGGGATGTGCGTCAAGGGGAGGGATCCGGCTGGGCGGCCTGCCCTGCCGCTGTGAATGTGAGCGTGATGAGTCAGCGCCATCGGTGTCGCAGCGGCCACTCGTCCCACCGATCGAAGCGTTGTCCCCTGGACAAAGAGTGGAGCCGGGATGGTTTTGCGTGTGCAAGGGAAGGCGTTTTGCGCGCTGCCTATTGCTTAATTTGTCTGGCTCTTCTCGACTTCGCAAATCCATTAATAGGTACTTGTCGTCACCGGCATCATGTGTCCGAATTTAGCGTTTTGGGCAAAGCAGGCGTTGTCGGAGTTCGGCGTTGGGGATGCACCTGCATGCAAAGAGGAAACGATTCCGGAAAGGGAAACTAGTAGGACAAATGTAGAGAGGCACCTGCGTGCAGACAGCCCAACCCCATGTTCTTCCTCCCATCGCGTTTGCTGTTTTGCCGGAGCCGCGCTCCGATTGGCGGAAGTCTGGCCGGCGGTTTTGAGCGCGCAGAGTTGCCATGTCTCCATATGGCGCCTGTCGCGACGCGGCTCCTGGGACAAAATGCCAATCACATCGGTGCCCAAACCAATTCACCAATTATCGCGATCAAAAACAAACAAAAGACCGTGGGGACATTCGGTGTAGCCCTCCTTTCCTGATCCGGTGCAACAGGGACGAATATTCGGACATCCAACGACAATTAAAAAGGAAGCAGTGGGAAAAATGCACTAAAATCCAATTTTAATTACAATCGCAGGAGCAGAAATTCCGTTTTTGTACTGTGTTTGCATGTCTATCATGTACTTCAAACTATATTAATCCCATGAAGATGATATTGAGGGCGAAAACCAATGGTCTGTGGCAATCATCCAACCCTCCCACCCCCAGGGGTGGTGAAATCCAAATAGGTGGTGATGGGCCCCGCGCTTTACCGACTCCCAACTGGGTGACTGAAACAGCGACATTCACATGGAACTGTTTGGGTGAAAAAATAATTTGGACAGAAGAAAGTAACCCCGTTGCCACCCTCACTGCGAAAGGGCACTCCTTTGTCCTGAACAGACAGATATTCACCGCTCCCAATACCCCTCACATTATGTCGCTCCTCTTGATACTCTCCCCAACCATTGCTGCACGTAGCTCCTGCAAACGAGCCTAGCAAAATCACAAGCAAAGTATCAACAAAATATATGGACATGTCAATATCAACGCAAATAATTTCAATTATTATTTGACGGCTTTTGCAAGCTTGCCATTGGTATACCATATACAAGTTTACAATGCCGAAACGTCACGAGTGAAAAATTAGCATCGGCAAAATCTAAAGCGACACTACGCTGTTGCTCTGCTATCGGAACGACCTGCTGCACGACATTCCTGGTGCAAAGCAGGATACAACTGCAAAAGGGTGACAATGCCCAAATCCTTCCAATGTCTGTCGTCAAATTTTGGAAAGGCAAGGTGCACATTGCACATGTTGTTGCATGTATCGGACTGGTTTGGAGAATCTAGATGGTTTGGGCGGCAAATTATTTCTGACTATCACTCACAGGGCTGGTAAGGCTTATCTACAGGTTAAAATTTCATGATTATAAATCCCGAAACCAGCTCCCCATCTCTTAATGTCAAATGGTCACCAAATTGTGCATGCAGCAGGAATTCGATGATGGAAGTGTTGTACATACTCGCCGCCTGTTGTCAGCTAATGATCATAGCTCTGCAAGTTCCGGTAAATATGCAGAATCAAGGCCTTATGTTCACCCAACTATTTCCAGCCCAGCCCAGCGCTCCGCACCTTGGCAAGGCTCGTTTCGGCTTCCAAATCATTGATGTGGGTTTTGGAAGGCACGCATGTCCTGCGTGAGAAAAAAATTTCTGTGATATCACGTCAGGTGCTGAAGCTGACAAAAGGCCATGTCAATGCGTCGACCCGGAGCAGGAGAACGATCTCTAGCACGGTGTCGTGGTAGCATGTTGAGCACATGGAGCATTGCGCTCTGCTCCAACCGTTTATCCCCTGTGGCAGCAAGCCAGCCACAAAGCCACCTGTGCTTGGGGTGGCGTTGGAGGTGCGATTTCAGCTTGGCCGGAAAAGGCGTTGCCATATATCAGTTGGGAAGCCTCGTCATCTGGCGGTTCTCCAATCTGTCGCCCAGCACACGACAGCAGTGAAAGAAGATCATTTGCGCACCTCGCCTCTCTGCGATGCATTGGCCACGCCGCAGCAGCAGCCACAGAAGCGGGCGACCAGTGACCCAAGGGGCAGTGCTATGGTGTCAAGCCTGGGACCGGAAGCTGCGCAGGAATGCCACAGTCTGCTTGCGGGGGCTGCAGAGCAGGGATGCTTGCGTTGGCACTATGCGAGCAGTGGCAGCCTTGGGAGGGTGTGCACCAAGACACTCCACTCGGATGAGGCGAGCAGGACGAGAAGCACTGCGGTCGACTAGTCTAATCGAGTCTAAGATGATGATGATGACGATGATGAATTCCTTAACTACATAGCGTTCATCATCATCATCATGATTTTTTACAGAACAAGGCAATGAGGTAGCCGTCAGCTTCCTATATACATAGCGTTCACTAAACCCAACTCCGCTCCCAGCAGCACAAACACGATGTCAACAGCCTGTGCCACCTTTCCGCGATATAGGTCAGAAGCAAAGTAAAGAGATGTCCATGTACAGAGAGATTCATGTACAGAGGTGGCTGCTGACTGGGAGCAAAAGAGTCACAAGAAAAGATGATGATGATGATGGTGATGATGATGATGAGTGATTCCCGTGAAGTGCACAGCAACACATACACTCCACAGTCATTGGAACCCGCGAAAGCGCAAGGCATCCAGGAAGTCACCCAGAGAAGCGGCCAGGTTGTTCAGGAGCAGCGGTACAGTGCCAGGGGGCTCAAGCGTGGGACAAGGCCAAGCGACACCAGGAGCAACTGATCCTGGGCACTGCAAACTAGCCAACACACCGCGCTGCCTCCTAGACGGGTTTTCCCGTGCCTGTTCCCCCTCGGTCACTCTCCGGATTGCGGAGTCGAGGTGCTCGATGTGGAAAACGGAGGCAGACGGCGCCGCGGCAGCTCGTACAAGGAGAGGCTGCCATGAGAAGGGGCCAGACTGGTAGGGACAGGGGGAGGGAGAGTTCCAAAGAGGCCCCAGCCAACAGCCATCCTGGGTTCCTGGGGAGGGCACGCTCAGCAACCGCAAGGGCAGTGCTTTGGCCCTTGCTGATAAATTTCATCAGTGCCAATGTAATGACTTATGTTAAGGCCCAGCCCAAGGCGTCCAATCTAGGCCACTGGCACGTCGCCATGTCCAACCCCCAAATGATCAGAAATCCGCTGTCAATCTCACCACCTCGGCACCATCCAGTTGTCGGAAACTACCCCCGTCCAACACCATTGAATCAGCAGAAAATATGACACTCATTCTCAGCGGCCCCATTGCTAAATTTTCCTCGGCTGCAAAATTGGGCCGCTGACTACTGTGCACTTGGATGGATGCTGTGTACTCTCCCTCTGCAGGCGGTTGATTGAGAAAGGCGGAGCAGGGCACGCTGCGGCAGGAGGCCAAGTGACGGCCATCAATCCTCGAGACCAGTCTGTAGCTCCGGCCAAGTAGGCGGGCGACATGGCGCATGTCGCCCTGGTCCAAAGCCTTCCGTACCTGCAATAGCAATGGACCAATATGGAGCCGCATCTTCACGTTCATATTCCAAGAATTCTACATGAACAAGTCTTATTCACAGTCTTCGACTGTGCCATCGTGGAAAATCAACATGTACATGCACAATCAGCTCATGCCATATGTGGGTTTGCCTGAGCCACTGGAAATTACTCTTCAGCTTCCCAACAGTGTGAAGACGTAGATAGGCAGTCATGGCCGGCAGGTGGCAGTGCCATTCCAGCATGAGCTGTGTTTGGTTGCATTCGATCTCGTGAATTATTACCAACGTGCCATGATCGTATTCGACTCAAGGACAAGATTCTGTCCTCCCAGTGGGAGGCTCCTAGGTTGTTATGCTTCAGGCACACTTAAATATCCCTTGCTGCGGCCTACTGAAGTCAACGTATGCATCTCTGCCATTTTTTGGGTTTTGTTTTCTGGAAGGCATGAACAAAACTGCAGTGCTTTGGCAGAGGACGCAGACTGTATGTTGACAGTCGTCTGTGCATGTTCCAGCGGGCATATAATTGTGAACGTGCCACAAACCATGAGGTGTATCCTGCTCTGCCTGAAATTTCCCATGCCTAGGACACTGCCATGGCAACCAAAACATGTGCTGGCGGGTTGTCACCACAACCAACAAACAAGAAGCAGGACTGCTCACCCTGGCTCTTGGAAGCACACGAACGCTGGGACAAAGCCAGTCTTCGCTTGAGCAAATGCACTCAGAACTCTTCATTGGTAAAAGTCCCTTAGTTCCAAAGTACTATTACGTCTCAACACTAAATACAGAGCAGGATCCACCTCCTTTTTGCTTGGAATGTTGATCTCCATGATATGATATCCAATTTTGCTTCTGTAAGAAACACTGGGCTGAAGCAACATCTGCATCATTCAAGATTAATTCAGGGACAACAATGGCTCCACACTGCAAAACAGCCCCCACGTATCTATCCTCGTCCACTCACATTTTCCCGGCATACCTGGGTAGTAGAGACTTCTCCAAGGGGGACCTTTTCATCCGATGTAACAAGGTCTAGAATCTTGACCTGCAGGCCATACTGTGTTCCCAGTGCCTCCAGAAGCCTCGCATCCCCAGACGCCTTATATCCTGCGCCAAAAAATAGCGATACTCAGAGCAACCAACAGGCACCTCACACTGGCATGCAGTATCATAACTTAGGGCCAACCATTTGCATGTCGTTCTGCCGGTCCTCAGCGACTTATCTTCTGCCCTGGGCAAATGTGTCAGCAATCCACTGACTAAAAGGGTTAACTAATTTGTATGATGCTGTTTGCGAATCGTTGAATGGAGCAAGAGGAGAGTAGCACATCAACCTTTTTTACCTTGCCTCAGAGAGGATACGACTCAGGCAGAAACTGCAAGGAAAGCGACAGTGTCTTTCCCCTCTCTTCTTTGTTGAAACTTTGCTTTCAGGCCATCTATGTTGCATAGATGGACAGCCAACATCATTTATGGTGCCAGCAACAAAATGAGAAAATTTGGCACATGCCCATACCCATGTTGTCGACATCCAATCTGCAGATTTCAAAGATGTCACAGAAGTTGACAACTATTGCTTGTGACACAAGGGCAGGTGCATGCATAGCGTAGACACTTGATCACAGTGAAGCCTGAAGGCCATGCTGAACATGCCACACAAAGGCCATCGGTAGCTGTCCTGGGATGATCCAACTTTTGCAATTATATCAGATCGGTAAGGCAGAAGGTAGTGCTCTGAGCCTGGGGACATTTTGCGTCACAGTGCCAAGAAGCACCACAATCAAAATTGTCCAGGTGCAAAACCTCGGTGGCTGGGTGTCGGCCCTGCACTTGCCCTTCTTCACAAAAAACAGGCCAGTGCCTCTGCAAGAAGTCGAAAGTCAAGGAAAAAACAAAGATAACATGCAAAGCAAAAAGCAGCCTTGCGGGATTGTGTATTCACCATCCTTGTTTGATCAGAGTCCTACTCACCAAACTTGTAATTTTGTCCTGCAACGATGCCCTTGGCTCCCAGCTCCTCAGCAAGGAGCCTCACAAAATCTTCAGGGCTCAAGCCACGTATCTCCTCAAAGGGCAGGTACCTCATGCTGGGCACGAGGCCCCCACAGAATGGTGACCATGACGCCAGCACTCGGGCCTTTTCGCACAAGGGAACGATCGGCAGGCGCTCCTGCCACCCGAGGATTTTGGCCATCCCTGAAAAGGATATTAGCCATGGGGTTCCCCCTAGAGTGGCAGCAGCCTGTGCCAGGGCCCTGTGTCCGATGTGCATGCTATCAAATTTGCCCAATGCAACAATGGGTGCAAGTGTGCCTGGGCAAAACACAGCAAATCAGTGAGTCTGCACTTCTGCACAAAGCAACAGGCAGCAGATTGTGGCAAACAATTATGTACTATTGGTATTCGTGACGAGCTGCATGCAGGCCTCGCTGAAGAGACATCTCTGACACCGTCTGCAATGGATGGCGTCAAAGATGATCGTTGTTTACCTTCTTGGCACAGAGGCGAACGCCAAGCCCCACCGACACCAGGATTCTCCACCACGCCATGATCTGATCCAAACAGGGCAAGGTGCTCTTAGGCGTGGCCATTCCACCCAGTGCTTCCTTGTTAATGCAACAAGCACGCCTCGCCACCCATCCATTACAAGAAGTCCACCAGCCACCACTATGGCATAGAAGTTCTTCCAACAGGGAATGATTTCCTAAACGGATTTGGCGAGTAGTGGGTGCCTTATGTTGTGAACATGTTGACCGGTTCTGTCCGGAAACTACCAAACGTGGCCCTTGCAAATTTCAGGTGTTGAGGCGAACTTGTGTCCACGCACGAGCAGCGTCACACGATTTTCGTTTGTTCCCGTCGGTCCCATTCAGGTGGCCACTGCAAGACCAACTCTTCTCTCTGACACAATCATCACCCATTCGCCGGAAATGGTACAGCGAAACAGCCAGACAATCAAGGCGTGGCGCCTTCAAGGCCCCAGGGCACTGTTGCACCAATTCAGAGTACCGCATTCGAAACAGAACTGATCTGAGCCACCCATCAGCACGCCAGTGAAGGGTGCCCCTCGTTGGACCTACCGCGTTCCACAGCGCCGTCCACAACCCTGAGGCCACTGACCTTGCCTTCCCGGTCTTCAGAAATGCCATTGCTTATCTGCCGGCATGTGCGTCCCGTGCACGCAGCACCGGCCGCGTATCGGCGCACTGCGAACCGCCATGCCAGCGGCTGGCCGCTGCAGCGCGCACCGGACGGTCCCGGCAGCTCAAAAGCGCCAGTCCCCAAGCTCATTCAATTGAGGAATGGGTTTGCCTGCGGAGCCAGCAAATTCCACAAGGCAGTTGTTGTTGTCAAGGGCGTCCCTGCCGGCCAACACCAAATGCCTGCAGTGCTCTTATGACCCAGTTCAGCCAACATCAATCCACAAAAACACAGAATCAAGTCATTTTGTAACCCCTTTTTAATGCCAAGTATTTGCCAGCATCTAGTTACCTTTCGCATCTGGGATCGTCTTCACCCAGACGGATTTAGAGTATACGTATGCAACCAGGAAGTGCAGTTGGTCCAAAATGTTGCTCACAACAGTTGCCTGGCTAGTCTGGATTGTGAGCATCCCGAATCTTTCAATGCTTGTGCAAAAACACCGAGGATGCATAAGGGCCCCAGAAAGCGCCTCACCTGGCGTCAACATTGTAAGCAGTTTTGGTCTGTGATCCGCTAGTGTCTGAAAGAAACCTGAATCAATGTAACTTGCCATGTTGTTGGTTGCTCACCCAAGTGTTGTGACGACGATTTGCTAATTAGGAACGTATGCGCATCTACGATCAGAGTTAGATTGCTTTCCATGCAAGACACTCCATGTGGATTTGGTCAGCAGACTTTGATGTAGTTCACGTTGTGCGTGGAAACACCTTTAGGCGCATTTTGCATCAGCACAGATCAGGCAGACCTCGGAAGCGCTTCTTGAACACCTTGAGGTAATTTGTAGTCTGGGACCTTCAAGGTGCAGCCTGCTACTGTATGGAGATTTCCAACGGTCTGCCTGTGCAAATGTTGTGGTGGTAAGGAACTGAACTTCAGCGTTAGTGCAGCGGCAAGCGTGGAGTTGGCGAGGAGCTTTTTTCTATGGCCATTACGTGAGACTGCCAAATATGGCTGGGGAGTCAAGGGCAAATGAGCAGGTTGAAGGATGTGTCCGGCCAAGGCCCCCACAGGAAGGGATCCTAACGACACACAAGAACCTACTACCGATCTAGCTGCAAAAACACAAAATCCGCTGGAAGTGATAGGGACTTCCAACTGGGCCAGCAATCACGTCTGTCACAGGCTGTGATGTGACAGGTGCAACGCGCTCTCCTGTCTATTTAGTTTGCACTATACATGCTCAGAATTCCAAAGAAAATTTGATAGGCCCTTACTCGGGCGATCTCTTGAGCCAAATTGGCCAACTGCAGTGACTCTTCGCGCATTAATGCACACAAGGCATACCTCACATAGCCTCACAACTCTCGCTGTCAAGATTGGACCATAGGCGAACAGATTAACGCATATCGAAGTTAGCAGTGCACCGCCAACTGCTTTCCGAAACTGAACCAGTGGGCTGGTGTTCACAAATACACCAATACAGTCTTTCCTATTGTTACCAGGATTGTGTACACTGCTTAGCAATATCAGCATATCGTCAGCATACATTTTGACAGTTGGTTACTGATTTTGTGTACACATTACACAACTCAGTTATCAACGACTTTTGCAGACAGTTCTTTCCAGCTTTTTCGTAGTTGACAAGCCTGATTCCGAGTTAGTGATTGTCCTGGACTCCTTGTGTGCCTTTTGTGCCAGTCGGCCTTTGCAACAGTTGGAAGACACTCTGAGCTTATTCGTTTGGGAGGACTGGTTTTTGCCTTATGGGAATCAGCGATTTTATCGTAAACTTCCTTGGGCTAGCTCATGCTCCAAATCACAAAAGTGTTCTGAATTCAGGAAGACATATGGCAAATTGTAGTGAACTTTCCATGAGTTATAGCATCTTTTGAATGTTCCCCTGAGCTTCGCTGGATCTCACTGGACCTCACTGAGGCAGTGACGCCTTCAACTGGCAACGATGTTTACCACAGGACTAGTCTAGAATAAGTCCAGGTTTCTAAGGACACTCACCACTAGGCTTTAATGAACATAATTACACGCCTTCTCCTCGCTCAGCAAAGCTCTGTACCCATCCAATGGTTGTACAATCAATGCAGGAATCCAGGATACCTCCATCAATGACTATTCAGATAGGTTCACCCAAGATTCAGAATAACAAATCTTTTCAACCTTGCTAAACCTGATCAGTCACCAAGAACAAGACGAATTTACCTAGGGCACCAGGACAATGTTCAGAGGGAGACCCGAAGGCGTTTCCAGACATCAAAAGGGCCCCGAAGTCGTCCTTCGGTGATGAGTAGCTATCGCTGATTATCTGCTAGGATCTCCTGTGAGGGCCCCGAAGGCTTCCTCACTTCACAGTGCTTTAGTAACAAAGCGGGGGCCCCGAAGGCGTTCTAACTTAGCACAAGACTTGCCCTTGCATCCCATAGGCTTCCCCAATGAGCTAGGTCCTAAACACTAGCAGTACTCAACACACGAATTTGGGGTCCCGCGGGTTTTCCCAATAGACCCGCTTTAAATAATTGTCCTTGTAAAGTACTGGGTATCTGGATCCTTTAACAGAGATTCATTCAGGTCAAAATTATTTACAATGCAACCATCCGCGATTTGCAACATGTTCTACAAGGTGAACCGTTTGTTTTCCGTCGGGGCCTTTGCCCATGGGCTCAGAGCCACTCCAAACCGGTTGTTGAAATGGTGCACAGCCTCGCTATTAGAGCCCACGCGCACCCCCAGCTCCCTCGGAGGAATCTATATAAGATTCCCGGGTATTCAGGATCATTCCCTGATCATTCGGGCTCTCCATTACTCGTCCCGTCATCAGCTATGCATCAACATGCCTGATCCAGACCATGCTCTAAGTGTCCCATGTCAATGTGACATATCATAGCAAATGTCACCTCAACCGGTCACTTTGGAATCCAACCTGACACTTATTCCCTCAAATCCGATCAGATGGCCACAACCACGCTTCATGTGTTGTCCTATGAATCACTTTTCCCAACACTCCTGATTCCCATCACTTTACCGCCGCCTTGGATTTGAGTTGAAGCGGCCGCTTTCAAGCCACTTGAAGGATCCAACAAATTCAGCCCCCCTGATTCTGATCAATGCCATTTTCAGGTGCGGATTCGTCAATCAGTCAATTGACATGCGGACCATCAATATGGACCGTCAGTCCCTATAGTGTGTCATTGCAACTGTCAAATCACATCAGATGGTTATAGCAACCATTTATCGCACTGATCCACTTATCACCTCTTCGTCAAGCAAGCGATCAGTTTTGGCCATGCGTCCTCAAAGCATGTCAAATCAAATCTTCCTGCATGACATCCCACACTTATTACTCATTCGCATCAGTCATATCAAGAGAATTTACAAACAGCACTTCATCCTTCGTCGCCCAGCCCCTGACGCTGCCCATCGCCACTCATGAGTCATGGGAGTCATGGATTTGAAGTTCAAATCCAGCACCGCGCCTGGCCGTCCGTCACGCCGTGGACTCCAACATCCCTTGCGGCCATTCGCAGGTACACCTAGACACGCAGAATCCATGCATGGCGCGACGAATTGCGGCCATGCCGGCAGTACCGCCAAGCCCATTCGACTCCGCCATCGTCATCACCGTCCTGGAGCCTTGGCAGCCATGCTCTCGCGACCATGTTAGGGATTCAGCATTATGTTCAGGCCAAACACGGCCCATGGCGTGCATGGGCGACCTACCGCGGCCCTCTTCTATGCTCTCAATCGCCTTATATTACTGTATCAAGTATACTTTCCCATTCCATCATCAAGCTCTTTTTCACTGGACCTTTTGCAGATAATGCACGTGCTCAATACACTATTCCCCTTCACTATGAATCAAAAGACTGATCCTACAGCAATGCCGGCGCCTGTCCAGTACCCGCCATGGCACGGCACGTGCCCCTGGCTGGTGCAATGGCTTCTTTTGAAATTCCATTGTATTCAACTAAACGGGCTGTTGGTCAATATCATGGGCCAACGGCAGCAACGATGCATGCATCTTGACGACAGCGTATTCCATGCCATGGCCTTCAGCTGGGTCCATACTTAGGGCCCTTATGGATTGGGAGGCGGGGATCCAATCCAAGCAGTGAACCAGCGCAGCGACTAACCATTTGCAGCATACAAAAGCCCGCCATGACGAACTAAATGTCATATTATGCTAAGCCCTGCTCCTCGGCTGTCATATGTTTCCGACTTTGGCCATGACATGGCTGCTCATCATGGCAAAGCGCTCAAGTTCAATTCCACGGCATCTACCTGGCTGTTTTCTCAGTTAACCGTTCCTAATGACCATCCATTTTTCTCTTTCAGTCACTGCGACAATCCCTTGTTACGGAACGCCTTCAAGTCATATCGAATCCTGACAGATGCCCTATTTCAGTCATGGTCATCGTCTTGTCCAACTATGTTTGGACAGGGATCGCTTCGCATTGTAAGGAGCTGCAGCTCTACGCCTGTTTGTTAATGTAACATGTCTTGGGGCCAGCCTCTCATGGACTTCATTGCTCATAGCGTGCCTTTACCGTTCATTGAGACCAGACTCCCACAGCTCTCAGTCATGCACATAACTCACGCTGAAACAACCTCACAACTCATGGCAACCCCTTTGTCTCCTTTTTTACACCTAAACCACGACCAGATGCCCCACTGTCACCACTACTCATACCCCCCCACATCAAACTCATTACAATACAACCTCCTTTGCTCGTATTCCAGGACTACTCCAGCCAACAGCACCAGCTTTTTCCACAGCCGTCCTCTTTCCATCTTGCTGAACCAGAACCTTCGCGTCCCCTTCCTGACTGGAACTCCAAGTCAGGCATACCCCATCTCAGCTTGGGTGTCCTGCCTTCCTTCCAACGAGCTTTTCTTGGGCGTGACTCAGCAGTGCTGCGTATCAACACCCCTTCAGTGGCTGTCGTGGTTCAAAATGTTGACGTGAGCTTCCCATGCCCAGACACCTGACGACTCTGTTGATATCCATTCTAGTGTGTGCAACATTAATGTGGTTGCTCGTTCTTCTTTCCACCCACACTCAACTTCTATTCTCTTTTTCCTTCCACTAGTTTACTAATCATGACCAGTTTCAGTCAGACGCCCTGTTTGTCATCGAAATTCATGATGCCACAATGATGGTCATCATATTTGACATCCTGGAATGAGCCTAACTTTGAGAATGATAGAATCGCCGTGTGGCTTTTGCTGGAACAGAGTGTCTTCGCTGCGCAGCGAACATTCTAATTAGCATAGCAGACATTGTCCGACAGGCTTCTTAAGCCATCACGGACAGTGTCGCCGGCGTCGGAGGCTGCGCCAAGGACAGTGTTTCCATGAGGTACGGCATGAGATTCGGACGGACAGTTGCACCAGATACTTGCAATCTTGTGGGAGCGATGGGCGACATTCGCACCTTGGACAAAACAACGTGCGTACCCTTAACGAAGAAAGTGCGAACAATGCAATTGCGATTTTCCCAATATGACAAAAGCAGTCGGAGCAGCACGTACATTGCATTTCAAAAACAGGTGAAGAAGACTGCAATGTTAAGTGAGCTGCTATCTGCGTGGACTCCAGCAGCCGTGCCATGGCTCTATTAGAGCGATGGCATATAATAACTGTCACAAAATAGTGAACCCACGTGGCATCCAAAGCTGCGCACAAACCATGCCAAGTTTTCGAGACGTTCCAGTTGGATGTCGAAGATTACCATTGTGGAAGAGAAAATCTGTGATTGACGGCAGCCTGCGAACCGATTTCCTGCAATCAGAAAACGCAGCAGCAAGACCACCCGGTTTTACAGATGTGCGGCAGAAGGGCGACCCCTTGTGCACCAGCGGCCTTCCCGCAGGGAAGCAGACGTTACAGCGCAGTTTCGAGAAGTCCAACATTATAATAATAAATCATAAATATACATTATAAGCTGCTGCATGATAAAGGACGTTTTCTGAACTTGAGCTCGATGTTCTGGGACTGTATCTCATTGCTTTCACAACAATCAGCACAAACTCAGACACGAGCACTGCACTAATACCCAATTACAATCGCCCTGGTGTGCTGTCCAGGTCGCCAAACCGAACCCAATTTGCTGCAGGAAGCTCAGGCCACCACAAACACTGCCCATCCCGCCAGGCCCCGCGGTTGTTGGGGCCCCATGGGGTCGCAACACCCGTGCCCTTTCCAGCCGGCACGACGATGACCCCATGGGACCGCCAAAACTGACTCCCCCTCATGCCACCGCACGGCAAAAGGGGGACCACAAAAGCTCCCCGCGCTGGCACTCCCAGTCGACCTCAAAATGGAGGGCGTGTATGCCACACACCGGGAAAGAATCCGATACCAAAAATATGAACTGTGAGTAGGGGCACCGTGTGAGCTCTTCCGTTGTGAACTTTGAAGAACAGAGGCTCCCAAAGGAAGCACCTACCAACAGTACTCTTACAGCGATTCTAGCGAACGTCAAGGGTCAAAATTGATCCAGTCAGTCCGCCATTGTCCAATACAGACCGAATACCAATCCAACTCAGCCAGTGTCTCGGGAGCGACCCTGCACTGCGCGCCCTGGACACAGCCTAAAGTGAGACCATTGGTTTGTCTTGTGCGCTTCATGACGCAGCCTCCAGTCCAGAGGCAACATCGATGGTTAGCTCAGCTGTGGGTGAGTGGGGCCTTCAGGATCCCATCAATAGCCAAACGCATGGAGGCATCTATGCCAGCCAGCAAAGCGTCATGGACACTGCTCTCCCCTCATCGCTAATGCCGAACTACTCCCTCATCTACCATCCAAACCCAGGCTTGGCCTGGTGACGATATTGGCAGAAATCTCGACACAACTGTTTACCCCGCGGCCCTCTGAATTTCGGATGCACCAAACCACACAAAGCTGTTCACCAACCGACAATTCTGCATGAAGTCGCAATGTTCTTTCTCACTCTTCTATTGGAGCTCCATTATTTGCCAAGTCTCCACAACTAAATAACTGAAACGGTGGCAACCGTGACATGGCTAGCCTCATAACACTCCAGGCAGCAGAGGCACAAAAACAAACAAAGAATGGCTAATAGCATCAAAAAAATGAGGACAGGCCCGAAAGGGCACACCTGGGAAATGGCTATGAAGTGATTCTAAAGAATGGCATGCAGCCCAAACACAAGCCACGTGTGCATGTGTTCCAAGATCCCTCCTTTGAACAAATCAAGACGCACGGAAATCAAGGTATTCTAACCCCCAGCTATAGGCAACGCTCTTCAGCAACACCAGCGAATCTCTTAAGGTTTTGCTCCCAAGGCTTTGGGGCAACCCCCCAACCTCCTTTCCATAGAGGAACAATGTAGACCCAGCTTTGCGACCATGGTGCAAATGCCAGGCCATCCACAGGGTTTCCACTGGCCAGCTTTAACACCCAGAAGTAGATCTGACGCATACCATGCATCACATCAGATATGTAAGATCATTCGGGATCCACAAAGGGAAATATTCAACAAGACAATGATGCAAACATGGGATGACAATTGCCCTCCAGCACTTTCTGAGCCTCCTCCTTGGCCACCCCCTCCGTCTTCCATATGGTCGACATCTCGTATGCCGCCACCCGCGCCAGCGTTGCAGACCCCCCAAAGGCCACAAAGTCAATACCAGAGTCTGCGCCCGCGGGCGCTGACCCACGGTACACCCTGGTGCTGAGCACATCGCCCGTGCCTGTGAAGATCTCGACGCAGGAGTGGTCCATGAGGACCCGCAGCTGCAGGGGCTCTCCCGGCCGCAGGTCTATGTTGCCCCCCACTCGTCGGCTTGACTCCGCGTCCAGGGTGAACTCCATAGTATCTGGGTCAACTGCCTCGAAGACAACCTCCAGGGAGTTGCGTTCCCAGTCAAAGATGATGGCTGCACTCCCTTCTCCACCGACGTGCCAAGATCTTAGCAGAATACCTACAAACAAGTGCAGCAGATACCACATGATCAGCAAGTTGTGGCCTGCCTACGTGTTCCTATGTCGTTGGCATAGTGAGAATATGCCAGTCACTGGCCTTGCTGATGATATCATGTCACTGATCTGATACAAAAGGGCGTATGCTTGTGCCTGCCAGTCACAGGCTGGTGGCAGATAAGCCTGGTTGAATTCAACGGGATGACAGTGCAATGCCCCACTACTAATGGCGTTGTGCCACACAGGCATACGTACTACCCCTGTCCCAGTTTAAATGGTGCGCAGGAAATGCATGTGACTCGCCATAAAATACTGCAACATGTATGCAAGCATTCACATCGCCATCGACCTACATGATGCCAGATATCAAGAAACAACACTCTGCAATCACTCCGGGTAGTGCCCCTTGCCACAGTTGTCACCAATGATAGAGATGTGTACGATTTCTACACCATTTGCTTGGAAATTATACATGACACACACCAGCAGCTTCAGATGATCCCCTCTCAACAGTGATGTCCAGATCCAGCGCCTCTCCTGATATCCCAGGAAGCGGACTTGGCTCCTCTGGGTACAGTGTGACTCCAGAGTCATGCCAGCTGGCTCCATTCCGCAGCCCAGCAATCTGGTCGGCAGGCTCCTGCATGAGTTTGTTACCCTTGATAGACAGGACCCTTGGGACGGACAGGCACCCAGCATAGTCGTAAGACCCTACCTTCCTGCGTTCTTGCAGCCAACCCCACAGCAGGTTGCGACCCTGGACAGACAGCAAGCATGGATTGATACATTCCAATGGTTTCTGATAGGCAGGTGCCTGAAGCAGTAACCTTGCCTTTCAATTTGCGACCAACCACTGCTGATCTGCTGGTCAGCAATCAAACCATTCCACATGCACATGTTGCCGCCTTGTTATTGAGGTTCTGCCAACAATTCAACTCGACAGCATGCAGTGGAACACCAACAGCTTACAGAGCAAACCACAAGCAAACACTGAAGTCTGCAGTGCTGTGCTGTGCAACAGCCGACAGCATTTGCTGGAAATGCTTGCCAGTGCTCGGATACATTTGGCAGGCATCCAAGGCGAATGCCCACGATTGCAAACCAAAGCGGCAGAAGGAAGCAGGAGGCCACCACTACACACGTTGTGCCAGCAATCTTCTGCAGGGGGCAGCTCACCTCAGCATCTTTAGTAATGTTCGGAGCATAGAGGATGTCTCCAAGGTCTAATCGAAATGGCCCCTTGGCATCTTCCAGATTGTACTTCAAGTCTTCGTACTGCCCCATGTAGCATATCACAGGGTTCGTTGGAGCGTCAGGCGATATGCAAAGCAGGTACTGGTACCTCTCATCCACATCCACGGCAACTCTGGAAGCCTCTGAAACCCCTGGCTTATAGGCCACCTGCTGCTCAGGCACCTCGTCATCCAGATCTACCTTCCCAACGGCCTCAAAGGACTGTGACCAGGATCCAGAGCCAGAGAACGATTTCCGCAGCCCAAATGTGTGCAGGGGCACACGCGCTGAGTGTTCCTTGTGCGGGTCGAGCTTGATCAGCAAGGGGCATTCCCACATGGCCCCAGTGTCAGCGTCACCAAGGCACAACAGGCCCTTGAATTGCCATTCTGCGACCAGGAACACTGTCATCACATCGGAGCACCCTCTCCTGTACGGTAACCCTTGTTTGCACTGCAGGCAACATTGACAACAATGTGGATACAAAAATAAAGGAGCGGGCTTGGGTTCAGCAAATTAGCACCCCATGGGCGTCTGCAGGTATTGCAGAGAAACCCACTGTGCATTCAACGAAACGCATAGGACTGTACCTTGCTATCCAGCGACAAGAAACACAATAAGCCTGCGGTGCACTGGCATGGCATAGAAGAACCTCAAAAATTTGCAGTGTTACGTGCCCTGTACTTTTGCGCCTGATACATGGTCACTCAATAATAGCACTGCCAGCTTGGCCACCGTCAAACTACAGTCATCTTGGCATGGGTGGACTTCACTTCCAGCCCGTCTGCGCTTACTTTCACTGCTGCCCACAAGCTATGCAGGTGTCTGCCACACATGCCATGCTTCCCATGCAGTGCTCGCCCAAACACCATCGATGGGTATGACAGCAGGTACATGCAGAGCAACCGGGGTGAACCCTGAGGATGCCTGATACTGTGCATTGGGCAATCGCCAGTCTCAAAGGATACCTTGTGAGAGTTGCTTGGCAGTGTAGACAAGAACAGCACCCCCTTCTCCCTTGATACCAGTGCCCATCAGCATCATCCAATCCTTGCCATTGCCACCTTCTTGGAATATGAAAGGGTCCCGCCAGCCTGTCAGTGGCATGTTGCTCGGAGGCAATGGAATCAGTGGAGCATCCATCTTGTTCCAAAGCCGTAGTTTATCATCGCCTGCACAGCAAAGGTCAGCATGGTGCACATGCACAGCTCTCTTTCAAATTGTGCAATGATTCGATGCAGTATGCATGCCAATTTCTCAGTCGTATGCCACAGACGCATACATGTGCGTAGCATATGTGTCGCAATTCCTAGCCATGGTGGCCATCATTCCTTCGATGCCAGAACCAGCAATCGCATACGCAGCAAATTGATGTGGCACAGACTATGGTCAGGATTAGACTGCTTTCAGACAATACCTTTTCAGACTTGTTAATTGTATCGTCCCTGCAGGACATATGAGCAAGCATTTCCCTCTCACTCAGCAAATTGTGAAGTGTGGATAAACTGTGACCGTCTGAAACAGTCATATCAGATTCCACCATACAGGCATCAAGCCGAAACGATCAACGCCCGCAACAGTTCTCTCCCGGCCCGCAACAGACCCCCATAAACCACGCTTAACCCCGTCATCTGCGGCAGGCCTTCGGCACCGCGCCGCATGTGTCGCCGCCGTCAATGCTGCTCCAACCCGAGGGCAACGCTACGGCCACGCACCTGGCTCCGCAATCGCGACGCCCTGTGTCTCAATAAACGGCAGCTGCAGGTCGTTCTCCACCGGCGGCAGGGGCCCGCAGTCGGGGTTGCTCCTCAGCCTGACGCCCGTGAACAGGATAGTCGGTAGCCCGCCGTTGTCGATGTCGACAACGCAGCAGCCTGAGAAGCAGCCGTCGGCGTCAAATCCCCCGGGGGTGGGTTCGATCGCCGACTCCAGGTGCTCCCAGTGGACCAGGTCCTTGCTGGTGGCGTGGCCCCACACGATGCCCCAGTTCCACTCGCACCCCGTCGTCACGTGTTGGTAAAACCTGCCAGGCCGGAAAAGGCAAATCTCATGACGTCCGACAGCCGTTGCGGTGCAGGGCAGCCTCCAGCCATCGCACAACCCCCGGCAGGTGGCATCGCGCCTCGTTCGGGCAGCGCAGCAGTCGCGGGGGCTGGCGTTCTCGACACAGGACGGCAGGCCGGAACTGTGGAACCGAGGCTAGCACCAGAGGGGGGGCAATGCGCCGGATGCGTCGAACCACCGCAGGGGAAATAGACTCCCCGCGGGAGGCACTGCCGAGCCGCAGCGCGCCCGCGCGCTCCGGCCGCCACCCCTCCGGGGCGCCCGCCGGGCCACTCACAGGTGGTACTGGCCCTTGTAGTAGATCGGCCCGTTGGGGTCGTTCATCCAGCCCGCCCGCGGCATCACGTGGAATCGCGGCCTGTCCGGGTCCCGCTCCCTGGCCGCCGCGAACTCCAACATGCCCTCGATTTCGTAGAAGAACTGCGGCGATGTCACCACGCCCAGCGCCCTGGCGGCCGTCGATTCCCTCCTGCCCCGCGCCCTGCCGCCCTCGCCGACCGCCGGGTGGTGCGCCTCGCGGGGAGGGACCAATCCCGCCCTCTGCTGATCGACCTCGGGTCCCCCGCCCGCCTTCTGCACCAGCGCAACCCCGGGTTGCGCACCGAGCCCCACGCTGCCTTGCATCAAACGATCGCGCCCGGCGCCGATTGGCCTCCCGTGCGGGAACCGCCCACGGGCTAGTCCCCGCGACTTTGCCTTTTCCCGGCCGCCCGCGACGCCTGGGTATGCGGGGGGTGGGGCTGGGTTTGTGAGGCCTTTCGGGGCGGGAACACGTTGCGCCAGGTGGGCTGAAAGCCGCCTAACCGGGGGCACGTGTTGCGCCAAAGTGCGCGCAAAGAGGGTCGCTGTTGGGAGATGTTCGCCTGGGGTAGGGGCCCCTTGCGCTGGGAATGGGCCATGTGGAGGGCCGGACGGCCCCGTCTGGACGGCGCTTTTCCGCGCCCAGCGCTGTCCAGGGGCCCTCGTACGAGGGGCTTTAGACAGCGTAGCGCTGTCATGTCAGTTATGACTCCGGGAAGCCCTCGCCCCCAACGGGCGCTCTACACGGGATGTTCTGTTCGCATCGCAACTCGCCACTTCTTCCCGGCTTTTCCGGCACCCAAGTACACCGCAATCACTTGCTGAAAGTAGTGTTGGCATCGCTTCTCATCAACGCCACCATCTCTTCAATGGATGGTGCGTTTGGATGAAAATACAAGGTGCCTCGAACAGCAGTAATCTTGCTGAACTTCACAATCTCTTCAGTAGTCAATGAGCCCCAAACCCCAATACCACACTCCCAAACAAGTTGCAGTTTTGCTCGGCCTCCGGCTTAAGCACAAGCCTGTCTTATGCAGGCCAAATCTGTGCAGAATTTGTTGTATTCCCCATTCGCTTTTTACCTCAAGAGGGAGGTTTCCAAGTGGGGATGAAGAGCCGCACACTCAGACGGGTCTCGAATTGCCAAGCTCCAGCAGCAAACACCATTATGCAACCATTTACATCTGGCCAATGGCAACCACACCACCTACATGGTCACACTGGCACCATGTCATCACCACACGCGCTCTTTCTACTCCATCGAGCACACTGCTTGGTCTTGAATTCTAGGTTGCATTTGCGTACACATCCCATGCCCGGGTAGGAACATAGAACGGGCTTATGATTGTACTGGGGCCTCAGGCCATGGATTTGGTGCTTATGGTGGGAGGCAATCACCGTGATCCTTCTGAAACAGAAGGGCCAATCGAATGGACAGGGCTAAAGAACTCCTGGATCTTGTTGCTCTTTTTCCCATTGAGGGCTGGGGAGTTTTTCCATTTTCTGCTTGTTGCGAATTCTCTGTGAGGACAGCCAGTGTGAGTCATGTTTGCACGAAGTTCAGAAGTACATTTTTCATCACAAAGGCGCTTTGTGTGTGCCAGAGAGAAACTTTGTTGCTGGGACAGTGCTAATCAAGTACAAAATTCTCCCCCTCTGGAGGGGAGACTTTGAGAGGTATCTGTGAACCACCCTCTACAAATGGACATCTTGGTGTTCGATACTACTTGCCGCTCAGCCAACAAACTCTGCTTTGTTTCAAATCACAAAATTTTGGCCAAAAACGTCTTTCAGCCTACAATGGGGCCCAAACAGCTAGCAGGCACTGCAGCACTTCAAGCTCTTCAACATCTTGGGTTTCTAGGGGTTGCTGCCCAGCTGATGCTGCTACGTTCGCATGTGTACATCTGCAACCCTAACCCAATCAGCAGAGCACCAGTTTGCGATCCTCCAAAAGAAGCCAACAGGCTTTAGAATTAGCAACACCAACACTGCATTCCCCAAATTCGGGTGTTGTGCAGTCTGTGGTAGTAATTGACTGATGCTTGCCCCAAGACTGCCAAACAACAAGCTTGCAGCCAATGTGTGTGCGACCCTGCCTCATTGTGTGTTGATCTACACTGTATATGCACAGCAGTTGTCACACCATGCCCTTGCTACTACCCCAGGTTGCGTGTCTCACACTAATCTGTGCTAGGGTGCACAGTGTTGCAATCTACCTATGTTCCTATTTTGCACAATGAAGGCAGACCATACTGCCTTCCAGACTCAGCAAAAGTTGCAGCACTGAACTGCCTTCCCGCCGCTTCTCAATTCTCAATGACACCAGCTGATATCATTGTTTGCTGGTGACAAGCTGCTCGTCAAGGTACTCATCCTGCAAACAACAAACCCGTGCCTTTCAATCGATTCCTCTGGAATTATGCAATAATGTGTATGCTGTGAATATACCTGGAAGTACACTCTGTCACCATCATCCTGTGACAATACATTCATGTGACTGTCAGGGCGCTCAATGTGCAGGTGCCAGGGGCATTGGTAGACTTGAAAAAGGGCTTCTTGACACCTCCAACAGCTCCTCATTCACACTGTGTATTGGCTTGTTCAAACCAATGGGTAGATTTTATCCCCTTTCCCTCAATAGCTGCCATTTGAAGCAACCCTGAGGGCTAACCGCCTGCCAACTTCATTTTCCAGAGGGTGGACTCCCAACCTGGATGTGCTCAGTTGCACCAATGTTGAAGTGACAAAATGAGATTTTGATACTGCTCTATGCTCACAAAGATGGGATCCCATGTCTATGAAGTTTAGGGCTAAATCTACAGTATTGTAGCGCCATATACACAGTGCTGTAGTACAGTGATGCATGCATAGCACATGTATGGGGCAGACGTCTCAAGCTACAGGCGAACATCGCAGTTGCTGCTGCAGCACATGCAGATGCGCTTTATCAACTGCTGCCCCTCTGCACAGAAAAGATCATGATGGGCACATTTAGGGACAAATATCAACAAAGGCTATGAAGAACTTGGCACACCTCTGAACATGTCTTGATTTTGCAATCAGTCTGAGGCTGAGCAACACAAAGGAGGGCAAACCCTTTCTCCGCAACGTCTTCACTCATCATCGCACCACTCTGGTCCACTTCCCCCTCAACCTGCAAGCAAATTGAGAAGCGTGCCAATCGCAACCCTTAGAATCTGCCCCGAACATACATCTTGCACTGCCAGCAGAAGCCATCCCTTCAGTGACACTGCAAAAGCTTTTTGCGAGTGGTTGGGTTTTGCATGGTCAGTTGCATCTGGACACAGTTGATGGTTGTGTTAAGAACAGTCACTGGGCACACAATGCTGCACTGTGCTGATCCCACATATTAATAATACAGCAAATAAATGCAACATATGTTGAGCAGCACTTCTCTCAAAATGTCATTGGTCTGGTGCTACAGCTACATATCGGCATCGCCAAACAGTTAATAGGGAAATGATCTGCCCTATATTAAACAATCCGCATGCGGTTGTCATTGGGGCACATACCCATCCCTGTAGAAGAATCAGATATGGGCACAGCTCTGACCTCCTTAAGTCACAGCAATGATCCCTTCCCCACATCTGCTGCACTAGTGGAACAACCAAATGTTACCACATTCATGCCATCCTACAGTGGCAACTGGACATGAACAATTTCACAACTTGAACATTGTAGAGAAAGAGTTTGCCATACATAGCTGCCCTCAATAGCTTCCTACTGCCCGTGGTTCAATTTGCCAGTTTGGGATTGGATGAGCAAGGGAACATTGACTCTCCTTCCTCCCAAGCAGAGAGCTACTAACCCCCAACCGCCACCACTGCAACCGCAGCCCTCCAACACAGCCATCCCCCTCAGCCACACCTTACCACAGTGCGGGGAGTTGACAATTGGACCACCCGGACCGCAGCCAGAATTGCTGTTGACAAGAAATTGACTCACAAGATTACAGCTAAATACTCCAGGTCTCCAGCTAACTGTTTTAAGTCCTTAGCTCAGTGCTCCAAGAGCAAAGTGCTGCAGGCACTCAGCTCAATGCTGCAAGCTCCCAGCAGATCCTTCCCCGGCTCACCAGCTTCGCCGGACAGGTCATGCACACGCCCATCTTGCAGTCGTGCGGCAGCTCCACGCCCATGTCCAGCGCAGTCTCCAGAATCGTAGCCCCCTCCTCCACCTCAATCACGTGGAAGCGCCCCTCGTGCTCGATCTCCACCTTGTGCGCCCGCACCGCCCGCCCGGGCCTTCCGTAGGCCACGGCGGACGGGGCCCGGTATTGTATGCCGCCCTGCCCCGGCCGCCTTCCCGCCGTCGAGGCGCCGAGGGGCGGCGCGAGCAGCGATGCCATTGCGATGCCCAGCGCACCTGACGCTGGCACGTGACGGTCAGGCGGGGAGGGGGGAGAAGATTCATCACAGAGAGCAAGAGAAGCATGTTATACAAAGGGCATCGCTTCCTCGGCGAGTGTGTACGAGATTCTTTGCGCACTGTTAAGAGACGACGCAGGGTTGCCGGCGGTGGGGTGGGGTGGGGGAGGCGCATGGCAATGTGTTGTTCGGGTTGTGGGCAGTTCGCTTTAACGGCGGGCAGTGGACGGTAGCACTCGGGGCAACTGGGTGGGTGGCCAGGCGTGCGAGGGGCCGTCGCGGCGACCGCTGACCTGACGAGGGCGGGGGCGTCGGGGAGTGGCGTGGGGCTGCGCGCGACAGCGGCGACGGAAAGTGTGCTCGCAGCCAGGAGGTGAAGAGCTTATCTACGTGGGCATCGCAGAGCCCAAAAAGGGAAAAGGGAGGGAACGGACCCCGGTGGATGTCGTCGGGTGGGATACAGACCGCGAGCACGGAGACGATACGAAGACGGCGACACAGTGTCTGGGACACGGTGACAGAAACAGCGACAAGAGCGGTTTTTTCTTGGGGGAGAGGGATATGGATGTGGGGTTTGGGCATTTTTCCATGTGCGGTGACAGAGACGTGCCAGGATTGGGCATGGGGCACCAGGGTGTGTGGTGTATGTGCACGGAGTCTCCGGCTCCGTGTCGTCTTCATCACGTCACCGTGCTCGTGTGTGTATCCGCAACACACTCGGTGGATGTTTTGGGGCAGCCAAGGCGTTGCATTGGGGGGTAGGGGAGGTGCCCGAGTGGCGGCAAAATGGCCAGCTTATTGCAAACCGCTTGTGTTGTTTTGGTGCTCGACTGGGTAGACACAAACCGTCGCCCATGATCCCACTGCAGGGTGTGGCAGGGTATGCCCCCAGGACAGTAGTTCAAGAGTCGGTGCTAGTGCGTTAAGGAAATGGCACGTGAGAATGTGCCAAACGCATCAACTGTTGAAAGACAAGATTGGAGAACAAGAGAGGTCTGCGCAGTTGCACAACGCTCGCCTGTGTGTAAAGATTGACAAAATTGGCGTCCGTTTCATGACTGGCATGGACAGTATTTTGCCTTGAGTCTGTGCGCCACCTCCAAGATACCGCTCGATCTTGTCACAACCCAACTAAAAATCGTGAGTGTGCGTCAGGGCACATATCCACGAAAAGTATGTACCTGTGCTGGAAGCCACCAGTTGACCAGTACCGACAAAGAAGCAGCCCATGGGAAGGCTGTAACGACCAACGTGAGAAAGGGAACACGTTTGTTCGTGGCCTACGTTTGGAACTGTGAAGCAAAGAAAACCAGGAAATGGTTTATCGCCTTCCGCGCTATTCCGAAAATACAGAAATGGAATTAACTATCCTGTTAATGGGTTTCTGCGAAGGGCGACGATTGGGAGGGCGCGCAACGGCCAGGTCGGGCTGTTCCGCCTTTTGGACAGTTTGGGCCAGTCATAAGTCGGTTTCTGTCACCCCTGTACTCGGGGTCAGTGCTGCCCGACGTATCCAAGGGAGCTTGGGTTGAACCTTGTACCTTGGGCGCAGCCAAGGGGACCGGTCAAGCTGGCCCTTGGGTTTGGCGGGGAGTTTGGCGGCAAGTGGGAGTGCTATATCAGGCGCGACCCTTGGCGCCCCCCTTATTTTGTTTCGCTTCGCGCCAACACTTTGGCACAACCCGGAACCACCGAGTGGTTCGACGTTCCGGCCTTCGCGCCGAGTCCTTTCTGTATGAACCCCAGCCCTGCCGAACAGTGGCTGCGGGCATAGGCGCTTCGTTTCAACCAGCGCCTCCCTGACCGTCCTATTGAGGTCACGTGGGTTTCCGACCCCCGGTTACTCCCCCGCTCAGTCAACAACTGGGTCGCCAGGCCGGACTTTACGTCTTTCCCGGCCTGGTTCAACGTACGGGAGACCGGCCAGGGCCAGACCGTCGCCGCGGCCTTGGGACCCAACTCCGGCTACTTCCAGGAGTACGCGAGCTGGGCGCCGTGGGTCGCGTGGCAGTTCGACTTTGCGGCATCCTTCGTGGACCTTGTCGCCCATCCGAGTCTACCGCCTTCGATCCGGGATCTCCTCCTGCCGTACGTTTACGCCTCGGTGGCCATTACCGAGCGGCAGGTCGACCAGCTGCGCCTCCATCAAGTGCACGCGAAGCATCGCAGCACCGGGCTCGAGGGATCCTGGCGGGCTCTGCAGGCCCAGATCCGCCTCAGTGAGCCCGAAGGCGGCTTCACCACCGACACCATCGATGGGACGCTCGGAGCCATTCGAAAGGAGCTCCTCACCCAGGAGGTCAAGCTTGCGACCAAGGCGGCCGCGGCCAGCCGGGCGTCCAAAGCGGGGAGCGGCGATCCTCCTCCCCATTCGAGCGGCCCGTCGGGGAAGCGGGGCAAGAGGCGCAATCCACCTCAAGCGGCACGTCCATCTCCGGACGCGTGACCGACTTCCCGTATAATCGCACCCGCGGACGCCTCTCAGCATGGCGGAGGATTGGAGCGCCATCGCACATTCTTCAATGGATCCATTCGGGCGTCCCGCTGCCCTGGGGACCGCAGGGACCTCCCCCGCCTTTCGACCTGGGCGAATACCCGATCCGTTCGGCGGAGGAGCGGGCGGGCTGGACGGCACTCCGAGAGGAGTACTTGAAGTCGGGCACAATCGTCAAGGTAGACCCCGGCCCCTCTTCGCGCATCTCTCGCGCATTCTTAGTGGAAAAAGGGCAGGAGGATGGGGTGATGAAGTATCGCCTGTGCGTCGATCTCCGCCGAATTAATCGGCACTTGCGCAAAATGGGCTTGCGGTACGAGAAATTACGGGATTTTGGTCATTTGTTGAAAAAGGATGACTTTTTGGTCGGTTTTGATGTGAAGGATGCCTACCATCATTTACGGATGAGATTGGCTGATGAATGCTTTTTACAATTTCGTATGGACGGGGAGGTCTTCGCTTGCCGTGCCCTCCCCTTTGGTCTCTCTTTATCTCCTTACTTTTTCACCCATTTTATGTTGGTGGTTACTCATTTCCTTCGCTCTCAGGGGTCATGTACCAAAGCAGCGCAAAAATTCCGTTTTGGCAGTCTCGCGGGGAATGATTCGATCCAACGCTACTATGTGCGTTATACGATCGATGACCCCGCTATTATCCTGGCCTATTTGGATGATTTTCTGGCCGCCCTGAGCGATCCCCAGAAATTGCGAGAATGGTCCCAATTAGTTAGGGAGATTTTTGGGGCCCTGGGGATTCGCTTTAAGGATCGGAAATGCCAGTGGGAGCCGGTTCGGGTCAAGCGCCACCTCGGGGTGGTGATGGACACCAACGCTTGCCGTTTCTTCGTTCCCCGGGACAAGGTGATACTCCTGGCCGAAAAGGCCCGGGTACTTCGGGCCCGGAAATGGGTAGTGGCTCGGGATCTGGCTCGCTTTTGTGGGCAGGCTATTTCGGTTTATTTAGCCTTTCCCCTTGCCCGGTTTTTTCTTCAGAGCCTTTATGCTGTGCTCCGGACCAAACGCTCTTGGCGGGATCGTCTTCGATTGACCCCGCAAGCCTGCCTCGATCTAGAGGCCTGGGTCCATCTTCATCGGTGTGATGGCCGCCCCCTTAATCCCAACGGGGTGCCCTTTGCGGGTACCCTCACTACGGATGCTTCCTTGACGGGTTGGGGTGCGACTTTCACTCCCCCTCATGCCGATCATCCTCAATTGGCGAGAGGCTTCTTCGATCGCTCGTTAACGCACATCAATGTGCGTGAATTGCAGGCGGTGGCCTTGGCCATCCGGGCCTTTTTTCCGGCGGTTTCCCCCTCGATCTCGGCTCGGCTGCGCCTGCTCGTGGATTCGCAGGTGGTTCTCTTTTGTATCCGCAATATGACGACGGGTTCTGACCAGCTCCGCGGGCCGCTCTGCCAATTGCAGAGGATTTGTTCGGCCCGCGCATTGCTGCTCGATCCGGAATACATCCCGTCCAAGGAGAACACCATTCCGGACCGATTGTCGCGGGTCAAGGGGGGCGAGGACTACCGTCTCAATCCGGTGATCTTCAAGGCCATTACCCGCTGGTTTGGGGAGCGGACCATCGACCGGTTTGCTTCCCATCGGAATTCCCTCTGCACCGCCTTCAATTTGAGGCACCACGAGCCCCATTCTTCAGGGGTGGATGCCTTCCTCCAAGACTGGACGGGCGTGGCCAACTGGGCGAATCCGCCTTGGTCGTTGCTTCCGCGTCTCACTGCCTTCTTGCGCCAACGTCCGGTGGTGGAGGCGGTGGTCTTGGCGCCGGATTGGCCGTTGGCCATGTGGTTTCCGCGGCTCCGGCGCATGGCCTCGGCGGAGCTCTTCATTCCTCGCCGCCCGGAGATGTTCCTCCCGGGCGATCCGTCGATTCTGGCCGTCCTGCCTCCCCCCCGGTGGAATCTCCGCGCCTTCCACATTCGGCCGCGGAGGGGGGAACCGACTCTGGGCGCCTGACGCCCTCTTCCCGATCGGCATCGCCAGTGGCCGACCCTCTCCCGGTCGAGGAGATGCCCGCTGATCACCCGCTATTTGGCTGCGAGGTGGACGGACTATCGGCATCCGATCGGTCTTGGATGCAGGCCGAATTTCTTTGCTTTTATACCGAGTCAACCCGCCGATCCATGCATGCCAAGTTCACCCGCTTTGCTACGTTCTGCGAGGCGCACGACTTGGCCAGCCTCCCCGCGCGGCCTTCGACGATCTACCGCTACATCCGGTTCCTGCGGGAGGAGGGACGTGTGGGCGTTCGCAGCCTCCCACAATATCTGGCTGCAATTTCGATGGTCCACCAAGCAATGGGCCATCTGGACTTCTCCGCCTTCGACCCCGTCACCCGGCGCCTTACCCGCGCGTGGAGGCGGCAAGAACCGGAGCTGGCCCATTCTCATCGGCCGGTTCCGACGGATCTTCTGCGGAGCATCCTGGACCTTGGCTTGACGACTTCCGATCTGCTGCTGCTCCGTGC